GTCAGCTACAATGTAGGACCAGGCACATATGTGCATCGGTCCAGGTTTCCATACCGCATCAGCTCAACAAGATGAACACCGGATTCATAGCAGTGGTTAGGTCAAAGGTGGTAATATATAAGAGAAAGATTGCATATAGAAATATAGTACAAGAAGAAAGAATTGGTTCGTAGAAAGAAAGATATGAAGTGATTTTAATCTCTTAGTTTAAGGGAAGACAAAGAGTGTATACACCGACGCCATTGTGATCGATTCTGAGCCATGTCACCAAGAGTCTCCAACCATTGGTTACGACAGTCACGCGGACCCCAACCAAGTAGTCTGCATCTACCAACATGGCTCAGACTAGAAGTTAGTGACTTCAAGCACTGATGCCACGTTTTGGTTTGGCCGCCCCTAACTTTCTTCCAACCATCTCCAATACCGGATAGCATTGCACGTCGTGGTAATCGGTGTTCAGGCATACGTAACACGTGGCCCAACCATCTCAGTCGATGAAGATTCATAACCTCATCAACTGATTTACCATCATTCCCTAATACCCTGCGTCTAACCTCACTATTACTTACCCGGTGATCCCAGCAGACGCCAGCAATATTTCTAAGGCATCTGTGGTCAAATACTAGTAGCTTACGAGTGTCTTCTACTCTTAATGGCCATGTTTCGCTGCCGTAAATTAAAACAGAACGGACTGCCGCGCAGTATACTCGTCCTTTTATTGATAGACGGATATCTCGCCTTCGCCAAAGGTGACGTAAGTTGGCAAAAGCCAAACGAGCTTTTCGAATCCGTGCTGAGATTTCGTCAGACACCAACCCATTAGGGCTGATCAGACTTCCAAGATAAGTGAAGTTGTCAACGCGTTCGACTACTTCACTCCCTATCCTTAGTTCAGGTGTTGACGCAGACCAGTCCTGAAGCAACAACTTGCATTTAGAGGGAGAGAAGCGCATTCCAAACATTCTGGCATTGTTGCTTAGTGCTACCAGAAGACTCTGCATTTTGTCAGCGTCTTCACCAAACAGGACTATGTCATCTGCGTATTCTAAGTCGATAAGTGGACCTCCTGGAAGGAGATCAATACCCGAGAATTCAGTCGACGAGAATGTTATTTCCATCAATAGGTCTATGATGAAGTTAAACAAAAATGGAGAAAGTGGACAGCCTTGACGGACACCACTTGAGGTTGCAAAAGTAGATGACAGTTCGCCATAAGCCCTGACTCGACTAGTAGTGTTCGAGTAAAGAGCCTTCACAAGGTTTATGTACTTCTGAGGTACGCCTTTCAATGACAGACACTGCCACAGAATCTCGCGGTCTACAGAGTCAAATGCTGCTTTTAAGTCAAGAAAGACCACCATTGTCGGACGCCGATAAGTATGCCTGTGTTCTAGAACCTGACGAATGGTGAATATGTGGTCGATGCAGCCACGACCAGGTCTAAAGCCAGCTTGGTTCTCTCGTGTTTGCAGTTCACGAGTCTTAGTTAGGCGTCTGATAATTATCGAGGCTAGTATTTTAGATATTATATTAGTTAAACTAATCCCTCTGTGGTTGTCACAGGATGATTTTGACCCTTTCTTATATATTGGGACGATAAGTGATTGTGACCAGTCAGATGGGATAACGTCTAACTCCCAGATCTTAGCTAAAATATTAGTCAACCTAATCGCTAAAATTGGACCACCATCCTTAAAGACTTCTGGAGCCAATCCATCTGGACCAGCTGCCCTTCCTCGTTTCAGATTAACTATAGCCTTTTGAACTTCAGCAAGAGTTGGGGGACCTACTTCAATGTTCCATTCACACTGTCTGGGAATGGAGGGTAGTTGTAGAGTAGCTGAAGGCCAGCTGAACTGTTCTCTGAAATGTTCCGCCCATCGTTCTAAACGTCTGGACTGGGAGCAGATGAGAGTATCGTCTTTTTCCGAAATAATCTCACTTACACTTGACTTATTAATTCCAGTTTCTTTTATTAGTCTGTAAAGCTGTCTTGTGTTCCCTATAGTCGCCGCCTTTTCCATCTCTTTTGCTTTCGTTGCCCACCACTGCTCACGGTCGTTCCTTAGACTTTTTCTTAACCTAGATCTGATTTGTTGTCGCTCTTCATCATGTTCGGAACCTGATGGGACGAGTTTGCGAGAATCCATCAGTGTGATAGACCTTGAAGAAATCCACTGGTTCCTTGTAACTCTGTGGTTTAAGTCACTAATAGATGTCACTGCTGTTTCCACAGCTGCTTGTATGTCTTCCAAGCAACATCTGGGTCAGCCTCGTCTTCAGAACTACCTAAGTGTGACCTCAGTTGTTCCTGGAACCTACTTTTGGTTTTCTCGTTACTCAACTCAGTTCTAATGGGTCTTTTTAATGTGGCTTTTTTGCGTCCAGTGAGGCGCAAGCAGATGCGTGCCCGTATTAGGGCATGGTCGGAGTCCAAGCAGGTACTCCAGAATGAGCGACAATCTTCTACCGACCCTCTCCAACGATGACTGATGGCAATATGGTCTATTTGAGTCCATCGTTGGTTTGGTGTAGGGGGTCGCCATGTTAGACGATGTCTCTCCTTATGCTTAAAATTTGTGTTTGCTAAAAATAAACGATTGTCTGAGCATAGCTGCAGCAGACGATCACCATTATCTGTTCGCTGTGCCGGAATACTAAAATATCCACCTAAATGCCTTTCTGTTTGGTTTAAACTACCTATCTGAGCATTAAAGTCACCCCTACGAGTACTATGTCTGAGCGTTTAGCTTTCTGAAGAAGTTCGGACAGCTTTCTGTAAAATTCATCTTTCACTTCATCTGAGCTGCAGTCAGTGGGAGCGTAGGCAGAAACGACAAAAAGGCAACGACGTGTGTCCCTATCCTTCCGAGTTCTTACGGAGCCGTTCAGCCGAACAGCACATAGACGACTGTTGACGGGGATCCACTCTAGCAGTGCTTGTTCGCCCTCATGCTTAGTGCTATGCCTACACCTGCCAGTCCACGAGAACTGGCCATCGGGTCACCAGATACACGGAGGGTGTATCTCGTTGGCTCTCCGTTTGCCGAGGTGAGGTCAAGTGAATGACCACACTGGAATCCTGTATGCGTGTTTCGGAGACACAGCATACATCAATGGAAAGAGACTCTAGGGTTTTAGCCAAGGAAGCCTGCTGACCGATTTGACATAGGGTGCGTACGTTGAAGGCTCCAATGTGTAGTTTGGAGCGAGGTTTCAGTAGACCTGGGACAGAGTTTTGAGCACTAGAATCGTTGGCTATGGTGACACTTGAGGAGGAAGCCAAAGGAGGAAGTTTAGAGTTGAAAGTCGATGTAGGAGGAATAATAGGAATTGAAGAGGAAGGTTGATTATGAATACAGTGGTCTTGAGTGCTGTTAGAGGTATGAGGGCGGTTATCACTTCCCGGTTGCCCACACCGTGGAAGGGTTCTTCTGGAGGTACCTGAAAAGGAAATTGGATTAGAGGTGGTCTCAGTGACCTGAGAGCGTGACCGCAGTGCCCAAGGGACAACTGCTTGAGGCCGGTCGCGCACGGCCTTTTCGTGGAAGGTTTTTAATGTGTTAGCTCCGTTCTTCAAAGGGCCTTACCGCCGGAGACGGAAATCCGTGAGGTAAGGTGAGGTGTGCATTTTTAGGGTCGACCTTTTCTAACCCCACCCCTCCTTGTGGGAAGGCAGCATCGCTGTCATGCTGGTTGTCTGAAGGAAACACCTTACTGCTGTCACACCTCTGTACAGTCAGCAGTACGACTTCGCCTTCGGACCTTGGGTTTGTTGCTTTTAGTCTTACCGCTCATCAACCGACCTGTCTGACATGGTAGGACCTTGATGAACAGTTGTTCCAGCCAGTATAACTCGGTTGCTTCATCACGATAGGCAAGCCCGACCACCACGTCAAGGTAGCAACAACGGTCGGGGAGGAGGGTTAGTCATGGAGATAAGAGAGGTATTAGGAGATGTAGGAAGGATTTGAATGTGACCAACTTGTTCTCGTGTGCTGTTACGGGTAAAGACAAGAAATTGAATTATGAGGTTGTAAATCCTCATGTGTTACGTATGCCCAAACACCGCTTGCCTTGACGGGCATTTTTCTGATGTAGCAGGTTGGAAGAAAGACGGCACCAGTCCATAGAGACATTGACTATTGGATTGAGTCATGTTAATAGCTATAGAATACCTGGTTGGGGCTCTCGTGATTATCATAACCAATTGTTAGAGACTTTGACTGACAGCTCAAAATCGTTTGCAATGTCGCAGGTGCATCCATTCTTTGTCTATCCCCAAATTCTGATATTTTAAAAACATAATTTTTTGTCTTTATCTCACTAATTTATATTTTCCTTTCGAGTAGTATTTTCGAGACTTAATCTTTCTTGTTAACACATATACTGTTACTATCTCTAGTATTGTTGGATTTGGCCCGACGTCTCTTCGTGCCAATGGGGTGTGGCAACTTGAACCAATGTACATACGTACAGGTTCTACGTTGTTACTGACTGAAATTCACTGATTCTTCGTAACCTTTCATGTGAATTTTTATGGGTTGTTTTCCTACCAGAAAATTAATCAATTTTGTTTTAGTTCCTCAACACTACTGGTATCATTTTTCTATGATTTCTTCCTCTTTATGTTGATGTGGACTCTGACAAATTGGATTTTTGTTTTTCTATTTCATAATTCAACTTTGCTTTATATTCCTTATACAGAACTGTGTTATCGATTAGCCTGTTTGAGAAAAATGACTTCCCAAAGGGTTGTTGTTGAGTGATTTTGATTTCATCTCTTGATTATTCAACATTCATCTCGTAAACGACCTACGTCATCAAATTATAAAGCATTAATTCTGAGAATTTGTGATCACGAATCAATTCACTTTATTATCCTAAAGGCGGATTGATAAGTAATACATGTTTTCGATTCACCTTTCTAAACAAGTGATGTGTACTGATGAATAGCTTGTACTACTTTAATTTTGCTTTTTTTAAAAATTTTTTTCCAGATAACTAAATTATTTAATGCACAAGCAATGAATCAGCTACCAATTTTTCATAATATCAGGTTTTGTTTACTCGGTCGCACAGGACAGTCGATCAGGTTTCGCTATGTTCCTGATCCGGGTACGCTTGAACAGCGTTTATTTCGAGAGGTCACAAAGCCCGTTATACCACCTATTAATGTGAATCCAGTCGAACAGCGTCTGCGCAGACAGGAAGAAAATAGACTACGTGTGAGCGATTACAACTTTCCCTTATGACGCTAAACTTCGAAACTTTGAGTTATGTACTTTTCCAACGGTGACTTTCGAAAAATATTACTAATTCGTATGATGGATGTACACTATGTCTCTTTCAGGAAGCTTGGTTAGCCTTTCCAATTTTCCTCTTTATCTCTATGCAACAGTAAATATTTTGGTTAGTCTTTAACCGTGTTTGCTGATAGTTGATACTCATTTACTTAGTCCGAGATACACCACAAATTCGAAATCTAATTCTGAACAGTTAAGCTGTCTTTAATAGTCACGAATGATCCCCTGAAGTATTCTGGATTATTTCTACACCTAAGCAATCCTCATATAAAGAAGGGAAGCAACTGACTATTGTAATGTGTTCAAAGATTTATCTTTAACCAATCTTTTAGTCACTAAATTTAAAATCACAACTCATAGGGTTCAAATACCCTTTCTGATCTGGTCTTGCTAGCTATATACCATTCATCATCAACATGATAAACAGCTAATACTTCTCACAACACGGTTTTTAGGTTGCATTAACTGAAACATTTCACAATATTTATGGCATTCCTCTCACCCTCTACGTGTGTGTTTCAGCATAACTCTGAGATCCTAAGTGTTGTTCCTTGGATTCCTCTATTAGACTTGACCTTGTGCAGTGGTAATGCTGTCCAAATGTTTAAGAATAGATACAGGATTTATGTTGCCCAAGTAATCAGAAAAGTAGGTCATATCGACCACATTGTTACTCTCTATTAAGCTCTAGAATATGGCCATATTTGCAGGAGTGTCACAGGAGTCACATCCCATAGATCTGAAGATTCGCTGTGTTGGTTGAGACATCCAATAAAATTTTTGCCACCTACTTTCTTATCACACCATAATAGGCGTTATTTCAGAGATTATTCAAGATGTAGTTTAATTTGAAGTTGTGTTTGTTTTATCTCCGGAGGATCGATCTTCTCAATTTCATGGGTTTTTTGAACTGAAATCCTCCACCTTTAGTTTTTCTCTATCACTGTAACTACTGTTATATCAATTTACTTAATATGCATTTTGTTAGCCTCTCACTGGACTGGTGTTGTGTAATGACCGAGGTTGACGTATATTTCTGTCAGGTCCTATGTTGTTTATAACCAACCGACGAATTTATATTTCCGTTGATGGTTGCGCACTCGACAGTCGATGTGTCATATATCCTCAGTTGCTCTTATTTATAAAGTTATTTGGGTTAATCAGACTAAAGACTTATTCTCTTTTTTGCTTCATGTAAATGTAACGAACACTTTCATATATGAAGACCTTTTTCTGGATTATTTTTCACTCTTTTTATATGTCTCACTTATAATTGGGGTAACTTGATTCAGAACATCATATTACTAAATTTAAACTTAGTTCAACTATCTAAATTGTAAATACCTACTTGGATTGTTCATTATATGCTACATTTTCACTATCATATTTGTCATGCACATAAATAGAAACAGTGTGAAACCTAGCACAAATGTTAATCGGTCCAAGTTATCATATGTCACGTAGTAAAATATAACTCTAAAAATGATATAAAGGAACCAAAAAAATAAGGTAAATTAAATTATTGAGGGAATAAAACGTATTCAATAAAAAAATGTCCAATTAAATATAAGGTCTATTTGTATATGCCGCACTGCTGTTACTGTGGCCGGGCTATTACATGTCTGCATTTCTTTTCTGAAGCTGTCTATTGTTCATCTTTAAGGAAAACTATTGCTCCATACATACCTTGAATCAGTCGAGACCTCATAGATTATGATTACGTGTCAATTTCATCCACTTGCGATTTACGTTTTTTTCTTCAGACACTATGTTAATTTGATCTAGGCAATAAATAAGATTAGATAACACATGTCTGATCTTTATTCCTTATTCAGTTAATCTCTCTCAAATATTTTTAACCGTCGGGTGTTTTCCACACTCAATGACCACATTCCTTAGTTGTTAGATTAAACTACTAAACGATAAATTATCTCTTTTTAAGCGCATTCAAATATTGTCTTTATCACAAGTAGTGTAATTTGACAAATTAAGAGATTTTGTTATTCACTAACTTATTCGAAGCTGATAGAATTTTCAAATCACTCATAATCACTGGCTACATAATATTTACAACTTACCAACTCTGCAAACAGCTTGTAATTTCCTGTTTGGGAGTTTTAGCACACCTTACCAACATGTACTAGACATCGATGATACTGTTTATTCGTCGAGTAATATCTTGAGTACTTATTAATTTTCCTGTTATAAGTTATATAGGACCATTAGCGTTAGAAATCTTTACAGTTGTTTCTTCTCAAATCATAATAAAAGTAATGGAATTTTGAATTAGAAGCCATAGCATGAGTGTTAAAATTATAAGATGCACAACAAAATAGTCGAATTAAACGTAGTATCCACACCTGTAGAGTTATTATAGAGAATTTGTTTGCAAGCAATGAATAAATTAAAAAAGACTGCTCTTGAATCTTATTATTCAAAAAAGTTTAACCTAAATCAAAATTCTCAGTGTTCGTTAAGGCTGTTTACTTTTTCTCATTTTTATTTGTAATCTTTAGTGTTCTTCTGGAGGCGATACTTTCTTCGTTTAGGCTTTTAGGGATTGACCTCGTATCTGTAAACCCACTCATCGTGTATAATAGTATTGTTTTATATCAATGTTGTTCTATATCAATATCTCCTGTTTTGTCATGTAATAATGGGGTTTGTTCGCAATTCGTCTAGTTCTACCAGTGATGGAATAATGACTTAAAAGTTTGAAGGATTTGACTTGCGATCGTCAGGTTGTAAATCAGAATCCTGTCTTACGTACTTGTAATTAAACAACCTTGAGTTGCATCGTTACTCCCTCTACACATTCGACATGCGATTTAAAGCTAAACACATAACCGTATGATTGACTAATAGGTGACATCAGTAAGATTGGTACTCTTGTATTCTCAATTTTAAGCACTTTTCTAATACTAATCTCAGTTTATCATTATTATTGTTATTAAATGTACATTTGTTTAGCAAGAAAATAATCCATACCGAAAATTTCTGATTGAGAGAGCTAAAGAAGATTTTTGAAGCCGATGAATAATAATATGGTATTAGTTTTTCAACAGTTGTGTCATAAAGCTCGTGAAATGGTGCCTGTAAAAAATAAATTATTTTTAAAGGATATGCATTTCAAAGGATTCCCATTATCTATTTTAAGGTGGGTTCTGTTTTTTTTTATTTCGAAAAATGTCTGTTTTCGAAAATAATATTGAAGAGGTATGTGGTTAATGATAACAATAAGTAGTGGAAAAAATTGTACTACACTCGATGAAGTACAGTGTTACATGAAGGGTGATTGTATTATACGAAAGTGTCATACTTATGTAAAAGAATACATGAATATCGCAAAGGCGCGGACAAAAATGGAAACGTTAGCATGCGAATATGAGCAAATTAATGAGCGGACAGAAATTTAACATGCACTTATGTTGTGACTCTGTGAACGATAAAATATCAAGTTTGTATGGGCAATTCGAAATATCGTAAAAACAGTAATAAATCGTTGGTGGGTATGACAGCGAAGTAAATCGTGAAAATACGTAGAGTAGAATATGACAGAAATTGGTCTGTGATGCTGACAGAATAGTGATATATAAACATGTTCTGATGAGCCGCAGTAGAGTAAATAGCGTCGATTAGCGATGAGTGGATTCGAATTTAAATACGTAAAGTTCCCGTTTGTAGGATAAGAATAGTCAAGCCGTGAAATAATAACTTCATCGACAGGTGATATTCGTTGCTGTACTGGAATTGATAATAATCATAAAATGTGAAGTCAGTGTACGTTGTCATTTGCGTTATGATAGATGCATCGAGTTATCGTTAAATATGTATTAGTAGAATGACCAGAGTAACAGAATAGTGACTGAGGGGACGAGATACGTAGAGTCGTATTCCTTTTTGGTCGTGAAGCCTAGAGTGGTTTGCGTAGTTTAAGGGAGATGCGCTCGACCTCGTTTGTTACAAAACCGTACTAAGGCATGATAAAAATACCAATTCATATGATTAGCGACGGTGGCGTATGAGACGAACAAGAGTGTATCTTTGAGAGACCAGCTCTAAACTCTATGTTCTGATATACAGTGCGATGGGAATAGAATAGTAATTGCAATACTCGAATAATGTTTTTGGGTGATGAATGATGCGGCATGTGGTTATACATGTGGACGAATAGATAAGATGAACATAATCGTTACTAATCAGCTAGCAGATTTAAAGGCATCCACAGACATAATAAGAGGCAATAACGAAATGAACAATGTGTGGTATAATAACATGAAAATGACCTCGACTAAGTGAATGAATGTAATAATAGGCCAAAAATGACATGAAAAAATTGGAACGAGCTCACTTAAAGCAGGTTAATTTTTACGTTATTGAATAATAAAAATATAGTCCAGCGAGTTTCGAATGTCATAACGTGGAGTGTAATGTTCATAAAATTATAATTTGATGGTTGAGTGGTGCAATTACATGAATGTCATGATTTAATGTCAGCACGAACAAAAGAATAATCCCACATTCGGCCATGACATGACAATAATGTAATCATAAGCATATGCTGATAATCTGAATCATAATGGAACAACCGACAAATGGATCAATGAGAATAGTTGACATGAGAACAAAGTATCGATAAGATAATACGAATTGTGCATGTTCATGTCGTGCTGCACAGGCTTTGCTGAGTGCACCGGACTAGAGATTGCACTGACTTCGTTGAATTTGTTCGTCGAAAGTATAGAGTACAGAAGTTTCCTCATCGACGTAGCTTACTGCGTTGAGTTCGGCGGCGTCTGCGGCAGGCTCACCACTTTTGTGGGGCCCTTTGTTTCGTCGTCATTTAAATCAGATGGTGTTTGTTAACGGGCTCTTCACTTTAGTGCCCGGGATCTGACTTCAACTAGATCGTATGAAAGTTTTTTGTCGCCTATCCTCGTATATAATCATCGACTAAAATCGAGTTAGTCAATAACGGAATTAAATAAGTCAAATAACTAGAACGGGCTTTTAAATACATATATTTTGTATGTGGAGCAAATTGAATAGGAAACAAAACGACGCGCATTGGAGATGGTGGGTAAGACAACTTCATTTGACCAAGCATTTATCAATATTTATAGTCACACAAAAATATGGTCACAGACATGTGGTGAGTAATGGGATAAGAAGTGTACACACATATAAGCGCTCATATAAAAACAGTCAAGATTGATAAGCAAATACTTAACAAGGTCAAAATATGACACAAGTAGAATGAATAGATTGGCCTGTCCGAAAGCCAGAATAAAGTATATGGGCTTAACATGACAACCGATACTACAATGTCTATTCTTATTTTCTACTATTTATAATTGTCTGTTGGTTTGACAAAAGGAATGTAAAGAACTAGCTAATGAAAAGAACTTACTTACGCCTGTTACTCCTCGTGAAGGAGCATAGGCCGCTCACCAGCATTCTCCATTCAACCCTGTCCTGGGCAATCATTTCCAGCTCCTTCCAGTTGTTATTCATCCTTTTCATGTCTGCTTCTATTATCCGACGTAATGTGTTCTTAGGCCTCCCTCTTTTCAGCTTCCCTTCAGGATTCCAAGTTAGGGCTTGCCTCGTGATGTAATTTGATGATTTGAGTAATGTATGTCCTATCCATTTCCATCGTCTTTTCCTAATTTTCTCTTCATCTGGAAGCTGGTTTGTTCTCTCCCACAAAAGGCTGTCGCTGATGCTATCCGGCCAATGGATGTTGAGTATCTTGCGTAAGCAACCATTTATAAATACTTGTACCTTCTTGATGATGGTTGTTGTAGTTCTCCAAGTTTCAGCTCCGTACAGTAGAACTGCCTTGACGTTCGTATTGAAGATTCTCACTTTGGTATTGGTTGAAAGTTGTTTTGAGTTCCATATGTTCTTCAAATGTAGGAATGCGGCCCTTGCTTTGCCAATCCTCGCCTTTACGTCTGCATCTGAACCACCTTGTTCATCGATGATGCTTCCCAGGTATGTGAAGGATTCCACATCTTCCAGAGTTTCGCCATCAAGAGTGATTGGATTGCTGTTCTCCGTTTTGAATTTGAGTACCTTGGTTTTCCGCTTGTGTATGTTGAGGCCTACTGATGCAGAGATTGCTGCTACACTGGCTGTCTTTATCTGCATTTGTTCGTGTGTATGCGATAGGAGGGCTAGGTCATCTGCGAAATCCAAACCGTCTAATTGATTCTGAGCTGTCCATTGTATTCCGTGTTTTCCTTCAGATGTCGAGGTCCTCATAATCCAGTCGACCACCAGAGGAAAAAGGAAGGGGGAGAGTAAACAGCCTTGTCTGACTCCGGTCCTTACTCGGAACGCATCTGTCAGCTGTCCTCCATGCACGACTTCGCACTGTAGTCCGTTGTATGAGTTCCGGATAATATTGACAATCTTCTCAGGAACTCCGTAGTGTCGAGTTGAGATTAACCATGAACACCGCTACCAAAAAACACGTGCCAAGTACATCAGAAGGCGAAGGTTGGACGTAACCAAATAAATCCATAAAATCCCCGAGAAGCCAAATATCAGAAGGCAATTAATGGACCAAATCGAGATATATTTGCTGGCGATCTCGTGGTATCGTAAGGATACCGAGATCGTGCCAGAATACAAGCTTGGTTACAGAACGTAACCGAATTCGCGTGAAGTCAAAATCAAAGTGTAAGAATAAGAATGGAAGCACAATATAGCTGTCATTAGCACAGTCAAACAAAAGCACATTAAAACAAACACTGGTACAGTTGGTTATAATAATAATAATAATTTTTATTAAACCAGTCGTGTTCTCGTGATAAATATGAGTCACTACAAAGTTTCCATAACGTCCTCCTATCCACACTGTCAAATGCCTTGTCATAATCAATGAAGTTGATGTATAGTGACGAGTTCCACTCAACTGATTGTTCGACGATGATCTGTAGTGTTGCAATTTGGTCTATGCACGACCGATCCTTACGGAATCCAGCTTGTTGATCTCGAAGTTGGGCGTCTACTGCATCCTTCATCCGGTTCAGCAACACTCTGTTGAAGACTTTCCCTGGCATTGACAGTAGTGTAATGCCTCTGTAGTTCTCATATTTGATCAGATCTCCTTTCTTTGGTGTGCTGATGAGGTGTCCTTCTTTCCGGCCCATCGGCACTTGTTCCTCCTCCCAAATCTTTTTGAATAGAAGGTGAAGCATGTTTGTAGTTACTTCGATGTCTGACTTCAGTGCTTCAGCTGGTATGTTGTCGGGTCCTGCTGCTTTCCCGTTCTTGATTTGTCTGACGGCCATTCTGATTTCTTCCTTCGTTGGTGGGTTGACGTCTATGGGAAGATCTGTGTGTGCTGCTTCGATGTCCGGTGGATTCATTGGGGCCGGCCTATTCAGGAGTTTCTCGAAGTATTCTACCCATCTGTTCCGCTGTTGTTGAATTTCAGTGACTGGTAGCTAATTAAAAGTAATAGGTGTAAATTCTTATGTATTTAGTTTGCTTAATATTTAAAACTAATTATCTCATGTTCCTGCTATTGAACTTATATGTCGAAATTAATGTTTTGCCAGTGTTTTCATTAATTTGCCAAAACAGTTTAGTAGTACAGTATATATTCTTCTGGTCTAAGATGTTTACAGGAAATTGTAGTAAATACCGGATATTGCTTTCATGTTGTCAATATTCTCAAGGGCGGAGGATCTACATCTTTAGATTAGTGCTGTTTTTTGGATGTAAGCTGACATCGTTTACCACCGCTTAGTGTAGTTACGAAGCTCAGGTTTGTGCATCAGTACTTCAGCCTCAGTAAATAGATGCATACTAGGGATATTAACCGGTTGTCAAATCTAAATTGATTGAAAATGTTTTGAAGTTGTGACCTAATATTTGAACAGTAAAAAGTTTAAAATGCATTTATTCTCCTGCCTTACCTGACTATTCTAGTATTACTGATCCAGGATTATTTGTCAAGTTATTCTTATGACCAGCCAACCAGTCAATACAGTTTAAGCATTAAATTGAACAACTCACCTGCGGCATGTATTGTATTTTCGTTTCTCATGTAAACATTAAGTATATTACCCTGCAGAATCCATGTGTCTTTCAGTTTCTTTATTTTCCTGACTGATACAATGCTTGTATGAACACATCTTTGATTGTTTCAGCTGATGAATAAAATCATGCCTCATAGTTTAAGGTATTGATTCTCATCTAGATATAAACCTTGCTATTTGTTATCATCTTGACACAATTCATGAGTCGATCAGTACCATCGTACTTAATATACTTATCAGTAGGTTGCAACAGATTGTAAGGCTTAATAAATTAACATCATGAATCGTTTATTTTATTTTTCTATCACTTATTCATTTTTTCCGGCTTTTTTACAGAGAAGCTTCTAAAGGCACTCGTTATGAAATGTTTACACGCTATATGCTTCATTCAAATATTCCTAATATGTATCTGTTTTCTGAGCCTACTCCTGAAAAATGTCGTTATGCAATAAACATAACCAAAAAAGTTCATTTTCTTCTTTTGCTTGGTAGGTAAAAGGAAGTTTTGTTATTTAACTAATTAAATGTTATACTACAGTCAACTAGTAATAGATACTTACCTGTTGAGAGCCTCCATTTTTGTGATAATTGAAACCATGATAATGTCAACTAATGCCACTGTCGTGCTGAGTCTTACATAATCGCTATTCCTCTGTATTCTGGTGTCATATACCCTAAGCTTTGCGTAAATACTCATCTTCTGACTTCGATTTTTTTAAAAGATAATATCATTAATCATTTTATAAGTCATTACTAAGAAAGTAAGTAATATAAGGTAGTAGTAGTCAAGTATTTATGAAAACATATTCGAGGGAGTTATCGTTGCTAACGCACTCAATTTTTTCCGTCTCAGGCGATTAGACAAAAATACTATGGAGCAATTCTTCATATCCGAAATTCGTTTTTGTTTCTGAATTCGATGTTTCCCGAGCGATCATGATTATTTAATTATCCTATTAATTGCTAATATAACATAAGTGTCCTATATTTTTTAGTACTATTCTATCCCTTTTTAAAGAAACCGAGGAATGTCATCTGTAGAAGTTGGTTGGGTTTTATATTTACAAGATGTTTTTAAGTCGTATGTGATTTGCCAGTTTTATAACTGCCACTACTGTTGTAATGAACGAAGACTCGGGTGAGCAAAGCAATTTGTTTTTATTATGCCAAATCATACATTATTTCTAAAATATGAAAACAATACATTAAATACACGATTTAGCCATCTTCCCTCAGTTGTCCCTTGCAAACTCCATCGTCCTTTTATCCGTATTTTTATTCTAATTGATTTCTGCTTTCCTTTCTCTTCGTTTTCCTTCTCTATCTGTAAGAATTCTACTTTCAATTCCTGATACACACTATTTATACCTGTCCGTACAAGAAGTACACACTACATTGTGATTAGCTACACACAAATTTAATTTGTACTTCTCGATATGAATTCTGTAGTATTAGTTTTATAAAAACAGTAATAATACTACCTTTTATATACTACAATTCGGATTGATCAGTATTTTAAAAGTTAAGTTTATTTGCTTCAATCTACCTTTTTTCCTGAAGTAGTCTGAAGGCTAATAAACTAACCATATTGTTCATTTAGAGTTACTTTGTTCACTAAAACTAATATGAGTTGTTTGATAGTCAATCTATTCAGCATACAAAATATCCATAATACTAAAGAGATATTCATTTGATTAGTGTTTGTTTGGACACAATTTTTCTCATTAGTTCAAAGATGTAGTGATCTAACTTACCACTTTGAGATGTGTTACGGTTGGAAAACACTGACGGTCATATTGAAACCATTTATGGTACTTGAAAAGCTATCAGAATTAATTCAAATGTGGTTAAGGTCAGCTTCTTATACATCTATTTATAACCACGTGGTCCATCTTTTGGTTTCCTTATAGTTGTAATGTTTCAATTTTAAACAAAATTATAAAAATCTAAATCACTTCAACATCTTTATTTTCTGTATACATTTTAGGCGGTATTGTTGATTATAGGATCATGACTGTACAGCAACTGAATGAGTTTGCTGCATTGTCATCTCAAGGCTTAGATGGTGCACGTAGTCATTTGGTTATGTTATTAGAGCAAAATCGAGGCGGGCAAATTGTGCAAGACTTAAACTATCATCAATCTTTCATTGTCAATGGACTAAAAAATTTGTATGACGAAACAAAAAATAGTAACGAGTCGTCTTCATCTGATTCATGAGTCATAACTATTTCAAATTTTCAGTTACCCTTTTTGTAAATATTTCGAGTGGATATTGTTAATTATTGTAAATATAAACATTATTATATGCATCAGTCACTTTTAATTCATATAATCTTATTTGCTTAAAACTTTGATACTTTTCGTTATCTTGAATAATTTATTAAAGCTGTGGTTTATTCGTTCAATCTCTCAAATTTCAATCAACAACTCAACACTTAATCACTACGACCTATAACGGTTTCGATAGGTCGATAGTATTGGTGGCCCTAACACAAATCACCTGGCTCTTTGCATAATACAGTAACCTGTTATTACGTGGCTTAGTGTTTTAAGCATTTGGTTTCCAACTATCCGATTTCATGTTTGAAATCTGCTCTTAATTTTCTTATTCGGCTAGTATTTGAAAATGTACTCAGTCACGGTATTACATTACTTGAGTACGTAGTTACACTTGTACTTTGGATTTCTAAGTGAATGGACGCCTAATGATAAGCTTGTATGCACAGCATAGATGGGAATACACCTATTTTAAAAATCTTGTTTAAATTTCACTTTTTATTATTGAGTAATACAGTTATAATTTATGACCTATTTTAGAGCTAATTTCATTATTATCACTTAATCTCTTAATTGATAACTAGTAGTGGAATACTAAACTCAAGTTTCATCCTGTATTAAGCATTAGTAGGTCGTATGTACCTAGATTTCATTGGTGTATGTAGTTATTAGTGTAATACTTATAACTCCATGTGACACGGTTTTATGTTTCTAACCTTTCAAGTACAGTTGGACTCGACTAATGTATCGATGAACTTAATTCAAATATTGCTAATGTGACTCGTAACAGGAATAAAGTATCCAATTCATTCCGATTTATTAATCAGATAAGTCAAATAATACTAATGTTAGATTTTATAATTACTTGATTCTATTCACAACTTTCTGATTTAACTTTCTAATCAAGAGTTTATTTTTAAGAATTCCATTTCAATTTAGCTACCAAGTATGTTAATTATTTGTCATTCCAACCGCACAGTCTAGTTTTCATATTTTAATTCAAGCATATCAAAATAAAATGAAAGGTTACATAGTTCTTGTCCACAAGGTCTACATCTATTTCTGTCTGACCAACTGAGTATTTGTCTTGGTATGTACTTAAAGGTTATAGCTTACCATTGAGTGTTCAAAGAACTAGAATCAAAGGTTCCGCCTAAATTCTCGCTTCGGTTTGGGCACCCGGGCAGTATCACAGCCCTCTCACAAATCAAATGAGATTAGTGTGGCGCATATATATTTGGTACTTCCTTGTACCAATATCTATGTGTTCAAACAACAAACAAATCGCTTAATATTAGGGCTTGTCTCTAATTTTGAAGCAACTGAACTTTCACGTAGGATTCGAATCCGTATCGTTCACTGCATAACAAAAGGTGATATTACCTTCGACTGATCATAAATTTCACAAAACCTCAATTCATTGTCTTGTCGATAAATAGATACCAGGTCACTTATGCTAGTGGGTACATTGCAACATGAGAGATAGAATACAGTCAGCACTAGGGATCAGTTCATGCAAATATGTGTTATATATCTTGTTTGTAAAAATAATCGCTATTCATATGTTTCCGTCAGTTGCACTTTGATTTAATTCTAGTTGGATATTCATTTATATTTACCTAGTTAATATCTTCCAGTTACAATGAAAAGTGAAGTTTTATGATAACTTAAAAAAATCCTAACCAGCAGGATCTATTACATTTTGAATATTTCGTTTTTTCTTTGTTGAAAAGACTTGTCTGTACACTTTAACGATAGGTTTTTAAATAAAATAATGGTGTAATCGATTCAGATCTTCGTGTTGGATTGTAAAAAGTTTTATTAAAATTATTCTTTATCTTTTGAAAACTTGATATATATATATATATATCCCTGATGTAAGAGATGTCTGATTGTGGGATACCTTAACAAGCAGGTCATGACGAACTATATTTTCCGAGTTAGTGAAGGTTAACACAATTTCAACTTAAACGTTTGTTCGAATCAATCATTTGTATGCATGGGTACTTGTTGATTATGGAAGTTCCCATTATGTATAATCCACAGTATTTTATGTTTCATATAAACTTTTCGTGTCGTATTCTGCATTGCTGTCATCGGGTTTAACACTCATCATTCACTTTTACTGTAAGCACCAAGATTTCTGAATAAGTTTTACTAGTATAGGGGTTGTGGAGATTATTAAGTTTTGATTGAGATCATGAACCGATTGATGTTAGACCACCACAATTGAAAACCTGGAAGCACTGGACGGCCGTTTCGTCCTATTCTGGGACTCCTCAGCAGTGCGCATCCGCGATCCCGCTCGCGGGACTCGAACCCAGGGCCTTCGGTCTCGCGCGCGAACGCTTAACCAACTGGACCACTGAGCCGGCATCCTATGGTGATAGTTTCTAACATCAACCAACCCACGAAATTGCGCGACCAACTACCGTTGTACCGAGGTAGATACCTGTCTCTACCCGACAAGGATTAGCTCCAGTGCTTCCAGGTTTTCAATTGTAGTGGTCTAACATCAATCGGTTCATGATCTCAATCAAAAACTTAATAATCTCCACAACCCCAGTGGAGTTCAACCAGGTCTGTTGTGAGATATCAGCTCACTGAAGACATTGGTGTTCGATGGCGCAACTTCGTGGATTGGTTGAAGTTAGACATTAACACCGTTGGATGCCGGCTCAGTGGTCTAATGGTTAAGTGCTCGCGCGCGAAGCCAGTAGGTCCTGGGTTCGAATCCCGCAGGGAGCGGGTTCGTGGATGCGCACTGCTGAGGAGTCCCATACTAGGACGAAACGGCCGTCCAGTGCTTCCAGGTTTTCAATGGTGGTCTAGCTTCAACTGACTCATGATTTCAACCTGTGAAATTTAATAAAATCTCCACAAAACTCATTCTGATAAAAAATAAGTGCTTTAGTTTAGTGACTTAATCTTGTTATCTTATTGGAATAGATGCAATCCGTTTCCAGTCTTAACAGTACATCGTCAGTTTGCTTCAAGGTCATTGTTTTAGAAACTCCAATGATTTAAAGATTGATATATAGTGAAAAATTACACCCACTAATTGTCCTACATTGATTATTTTGCTTATACTCTGAAGAACTAATCTGTGTGTTTTAGCTGGCCTCCCGTATTTCACCGTCCAGTTACTATTGATGAGAAGTAGACACTTAACTAGATTGTTTCAAAATGATATACTTTTTTTTAAAATGCATAGCTTTTTGATAAGCAGTTTTTCATTTTACTATTTGAATGGCTATATGCAATTCTTTAAAAATTAACAAAAGATTAGATCTACATGTGTAAAATATTTGATTATTCATTGTTTCTTATAATTGTTAGTACTTTAATTCCCTTACTCTAGTAAAGCAACCTTTCAAATATAGAAAAAAGAAATATCGAAAATAAATAATATTTTCATGAATCTACCGAAATGTATACCCCACTTGATTATGTCGTATAAACAAAAATGTAAAACTGTTTGTCATCTAATGACCACTACTTCCCTATTATTAATATCACCTTCACCGTTATCAACGAAGTCTGATGAAGTAAACAAACCAAATGGTTATAAAATACTAATGAAATCATCATCAGTTCGATTACGATTAGATAATTTACCAACACGTGTACAACAATATTTTAATTTTACTCCTTCTGATAAACCATCTGAATTTATTACTGTATTGTCAAGTGATATACAAAAAGTGATTAGGAAAACTCATTGTTCAGTCAACTTTGTAAGTTTTGGAATTTATTTATTTGCTTTATATGTCTTATTAAGATTTTTTCTTGTCCTCTTTTTATAACACGGCAACAATTAATATCATGTTATATGGACCTCAACTCCGCTTGTAGCTCTACTAGATCTACTGCCGGTCCCAAGCCCGGGTAAAGGAGAAGGATTGGGTGTGTGGCCGTCGACCCCCATCTCGTACAACACAACCTTGCTAAAAAGCACTAACCAAAATAAATAATTTATACCAATTAAACTCTACCCTCCGAGTTCAAGGAAGATTTATGACGCCTAATGATGGAAGTCAATATTCTTCCGAAGTCACGAGGTCGATGCCCCTTCTAACAATCAGAGTAACAACTTATATCGGTACATGGAATGTTCGGACAATGTGAGAGACCGGGACGATCAATCAAATAGTTACGGAAATGAGGGGATACAACTTGATGGTGCTCGGAATCAGCGAAACCCATTGAGTTCAAACTGGACAGCAAAGTGTAGATTCTGGAAAGATGCTGCTGTACTCTGATCACGAAGAAAATGCTGCGCACACTTGAGCATTCGACGCTAGAACACTCCCAAGTCTCACACAAGCCACTTGTTTGGTAGACAGTGGCGATCAACCTTGAACGCATTGTCCTTCTCAATAGCTTCTTTCATGGCTTCGAATGTGACCGGAAGTCTGGAAACTGCGTCTGCCAGTACTGTGTGAACCTCAGCTTCAACATCTACGGAAGCTTCAAGCACCTCTTCTTCTTGTTTTGCATGGAATCAATCAATCTTGAGAGGGCATCTGACTGTCCGAAATCCGTTATCGGTTGATACTTTATCTTGAAATCATAGCCAAGCAGTGTAGTTGCCCATCTCTGTAGACGGTTTTTGTATATACAGGGAGACCTTTCTTGGATCCAAAAACTGTCAGTAGCCGTTTATGGTCTGTTAGTAAGGTGAACTGTCTACCAAACAGCATCTTGTGGAACTTTTTACAGCGAATATAATGGAGAGGGCTTCTTTCTCTATCTGACTGTAGTTCCTTTCTGCAATAGTCAGCAACCGTGCAGCGTGGGCGATCGCCTTCATAGACCTGTCGGGCTAGGTATGTGAAATTACTGCTCTGATTCCGTAGTTTGACGCATCTGCTGCGACCACAATTGGAAGATCTGGATCACAGTGTGTAAGCAGAAGGTTGATGATAGTTGTTTTAGTTTTAGGAATGCTTCTTGGCATTCTGTTGACCAGAACCATTTGATATCCTTTTTCAGCAATGACGATTTCGCTTTTACTGAAAACTACAAATACCTGACAGTTTTGTACCATAATTGACACTATTTGGAATAACATTCCTTTCACTTGTCTTCTCCTTTACGACTTAAGAGTGTTCTAGCGTCGAATGTTCAAGTCATACGCGGCATATTCAGAATATAAGCTCTAGATATAACACATACACAAAGCTACATGTATCTCACTGGATCACATCACAGAGAATCGGATCAGTCGTATCTGCATCAGCGAAAAATTCAGGTCATTAGAAGACGTGAGAACCAGAAGAGGAGCTGGCATAGCTCCAGATCACCACCAACTGGTGGTTGCCCAGATGAAACTAATGCTAAGGAAGCATTGGACAACTGAAGAAACAGTATTACAATAATCCAATGCAATCTTCCTTCGAGATACTGACAAACTCAACGAATTCAAGGCAGCTCTCAACAATAGGTTCCACGCCCTACAAAATCTACCCAGAGAAGAAGAGGCTACTATGGAGGACAACTTGGAAGGGGTTAAAGAAACACTAACTCCAACATGTCAAGTTCTGGGCCTCAAGAAGTGTCATCTTAAGGAATGGGTCTCTATGGAAACCTTGGACAAGATTCAAGAAAAGAAGAACAAGAAGACAGTAATTAACAACAGTCGAACAGGAACAGAGACATTGAAGACACAATTTGGATACACTGAAGTAAACAAGCAAGTGAATAAGACTACTATAGCTGACAAGCAGAAATACGTGGAGGAGCTAGCAACAACCGCGGAAAAAGCTGTAAGAGAAGGAAATATGAAACAGCTTTATGATACGACGAAGGAACTAGCATGGAAACATAGCACTAACTTCGAATTCTGAAGAAAACGGTAAAGAGGAAGGCCAAAGAAGACACTGCGCCATGAATTTGAAGGCAGACATCAAAAGAACGAATAGCAAGTGGCAACAACTGGAAAGGATTGCCTAGGGCAGGTGGGATGGAGAATGCTGTTGGGTGGCCTTTGCTCCTTTGCCACGGTTAAGAGACGTAAGCAGGTAATGGGTATCTGAACCTCAGTTTGAACTGAATTTTACTCATTTAAAACAACTAAGCGACTAAATATAGTATGGATGATTAACTTAAACTAATGCAGTGAACAACCCAATAAGAACCGGTTCATGTACTCGTCTATTGGTACTATATTAAGTTGGAAGCAATTAGAACCCCATGAGGAATTTTTCCATTTTCTATATTTTACGATACAATCGACACAAAGTTCCTGACTTTATGGTGTTTACTAGAATTATGGAAAGGTCATTTGATATTTAAGCTCATTTCATTGAAAATCTGTCATCTCTGCATACCCTATTCTTGTGCAACTATGTCTTCATAAACAGTGTGGGATAGGGTAAAGCGTGAATAACTTTGAAGTATTAATCTTACAGTTTCTAAACAAGCAATTGAAGGGGTAAAGAGAAATACTTGGAGATTCCAAACCCGTCTTAGTTTCAGAAACGATTCAATCCCACGGAGGACTGATCAGTTTTACGCACTCGTGAGAAACTCTATCAGTTCATAGCCTTAAACACTTATTGAATTGGAGCTCCATGTAGCTTTAGAAAACCTCAGTAAAATTTACTTTAGTCAAGTATTATCACAAGAATAAACTGTAATCGAACCTCATTATGCTGAATGCCTTTCAGATAACGGTCGAACTTAACCTTAAGGAAATTCCAATAAACTTACATCAGATGTTTTTATTTGTGATAGATGAATTGAAACGCATACAATCATATTCAAAGTTTCATTAAATAATTTCATACTTTTTTTACATATTTATAGATTAGTGATGATTTACAACCTCCGTTACTTCAACTGATTTCCAAAGATGATACATCAAATGTCAGCAAATCATTACGTAAATATGGGATTAATTTGCAGGGGAAAACTCGAGTAAAAGTGATTGAATTTAATTCTAATATAGACGATAATATGTTTAGAGTCCGGGTGAAACAGGCAGAAGATTTTTTACAAGCAGATCATTTTGTAGTTATAATTATTAAATTAAAACATATTAAAAAATTATTGTCGAAAAAAATATACAGTCTACGACTACGAAAGCGGATGGCGGTGAACAGCAGTTGCGAAATTTGGGGAAGGTACGTGAGTGCAATAGAAGTTTATATATTCGAATTTAATTTAATTTCCTTGTATTTAATATATTGGTTGTCGTATATCATATACCTACTTAATTGTCATGTATTATTTACGTCAAGAGTTTTTATTCATCATATTTATTATTATTATTTTATTATTTGAACACATAAATATTGGTACAAGAGGGCACCAAATATATATGCGCCACACAAAACAATGAGAATTTAAAGACAAGGAAGAAGAAAAAAATTAAGCAGTGTGAAAGAAAAGGGGAACAATAACGAACAGATCGGTGTAAGGTAGTGTAATAATAATAATAGCAATAATGCGGGAACGGAAAGGTACAATCGGAAGAATTCTCTCAGTTAAGGAAGAAACAATCACTTTTTATGAAGAAAGTAAAAGAAGGTTACAGCAGGATCGCCACTGGCTTCTATTCTGAGCCATATCTGATAACGTCTCTAGCCACTGTGTAGCACCATCTCTCAGACCCCAACCAGGGAGTCGTGAAGGACCAACACAAGCCAGTCCTTTGCAGCTTTCTTTCATGCCACGACACCATGTCATGCACTGACCACCTCTCCGCTTCTTCCAACCAGTCCCAGAGTCGGCAAATAATGCACGACGTGGAATTCTCTGGGACGACATTCGGAGAACATGTCCAAGCCACCGAAGTCGGTGTTTCAAGATGGTGACACCAATTGATTATCATCTCTGTGCCCGAACACACGATGCCGAACCTCTGCATTACTGACATGGTGTTGCCACTGAATGTCAGCAATCCTTCGGAGACAGCGATGATCGAACACAGAGAGTCGTCTAACGTCCTCAACTCGGAGAGGCCAGGTTTCACAAGCATAGAGCAAAACTGCTCTCACCGACGCGTTGTAGATCCGACCTTTTACAGCCAGACTAACATCACGAAGGCGCCAAAGGTGGCCCAGATTGGCATAAGCCGCTCTGGCTTTCACTATACGTGCATTGATCTCATCACTCACACCCCCACCAGCACTTATGCAGCTACCCAGATACACGAACTTCTCGACTACGTCTATCTGCTCACCATCCAGGGTGAGTACAGGATTAGAATCCTGCCAGTCTTGTAGAAGTACTTTGCACTTCGAAGGTGCAAAGCACATACCATACCTACGGACACTGATTGCCAACTGATTAAGTGCGGATTGCATGCCTTGGGCATTATCGCACAGTAAGACAATATCGTCCGCATACTCAAGGTCGAGAAGTCTTTCTCCAGGCAACAGATCCACACCACCATTACTTACATTCATCAGAGCTGTTTCCAGAATGTCATCGATGGCAAAGTTGAAGAGGAATGGTGAGATTGGGCAACCCTGCCTAACCCCACTGCTCGAATGGAACAATGGAGAGAGGTGGTTGTATGCCCTCACTCTGCCTGAGGTGTTTTATATAGGGCTTTTAGGATGTTAATAAACTTCTCAGGCACACCCTTCTTCAATAGACAATCCCAGAGAACAGTCCTGTCCAACGAATCGAAGGCAGCCCTGATGTCAAGAAACACTACGATTGTTGGCCTTTGAAAAGTATGGCGGTGTTCTAACATTTGGCGGAGGGTGAAGATATGATCAATACATCCTCGACCAGAACGAAACCCAGCCTGCTCCTCGCGAGTCAATCTTTCTCGGGTTTTGAACAACCTACGAAGTATGACGGAAGCCAATAGCTTGGACGCAATCGGAAGTAGACTTATCCCCCGATAGTTGTTACAGGAACGACGTGAACCCTTTTTAAAGATAGGGACAACTATCGACTCATTCCATGACGTTGGTACACTCTCTAGTTCCCAAACCTTTGTAAACAACGTCGTCAATTCCTTAGTCAAAAAGTCACCACCATCTTTAAAAAGAGCCGGAGGTAAGTCATCTGGGCCAGGTGATTTGTAACGCTTCAAGAGTTGGAGTTCCTTGCGGACTTCCTCCTCATTTGGTGGATCAGTCGTCACCGGCCATGGAGGGCAGGACAGTCTGACCGATGTTGCCGGAGCAGCAGGCCAGTTGAACTGCCCTTCGAAAAATTCTGCCCATCGTCCAAGACGTCGATGGATGTTAGTGATTGGCATCCCATCATCCTCGCAGATTGTTTCACTCACACCAGACTTCTTGCTGCCAGTGGCTCGGATGAGCTGGAAGAGCTTCCGGTAGTTACCAGATGCAGCTGCTGCTTCCAGCTCATTAGCACGCATCGACCACCAGGCTTCTCGGTCCTTACGCAAGCTTTGCCCAATTTCCTTACGTAACATCCTTCGTTTATGGTCAAACTCACGGTCACCCGGAGTAGACCGACGGGCTTCAATGAGTTGTAAGGAACCAGAAGAAACCCAGTGCTTAAAGCGGGACGTTTCGCAAACCCACAACTGACTGTTCCCGCCATTTTCATGGCGTCATGCAATTGCAACCAATGCTCATCTATACTTTTCGGTGGAGTGGTAGCTAGCCTAGAGGCTAGCTCGGTTCGATACTTACTTGCAACAGAAGTTGCAACCAGCTTGCTAACATCAATCCGTTGATGGCGGTCACTTCGTTGTCCACTGAAAAGTAAGGCAAGATTGGCGCAGACCAAGGCATGGTCAGAGTCCAGATAGGTACTCCAAAAGGAGCGGCAGTCTTTTACACAACCACGCCAGCGGTAGCTGATCGCGATGTGATCAATCTGAGTCCAGGCTTGAGATGCAGAGGGAGGACGCCAGGTGGCACATCGGCGATGACTGTGCCGAAAGTTAGTGCTAGCCAGAAACAGGTTGTGGTCTGTGCAAGTTGCAGTAGACGGTCCCCGTTATCTGACCTGCGACCAACGAGTCCCCATCGGCCACCTAAACGACTCTCTTCTGTGCCTAGACGCCCGACCTGAGCATTCAAGTCTCCGGCTAGTACTACAATATCTGTCGAACGCACTTTCTGAAGAAGAACAAATAACTGGTGGTGGTTGTACGACCTGCATAAATGTGCGAACGTTGAAGGCAGCCAGTTTGAATGGTGCACGTGGTTCAGAAAAACTTCTTCAGTACTCATATTCGGTGGTAACATACAATTTTCAACCGGACAGTGACTCGAGAACATTTAGATACAGTCGAATTTCCACCAAGGACGAGCCGCTGTATAAGTATAAAAGAGGGTGAATAATGTGGTAAATAATAATAATAATCATTTGATTGTTAGTTGAAGCAAGTAAAGCAGTTTCCATAGTTATAGGCAGTTCATCATATTTGTGTGTGGGCTGTGATACTGCCCGGGTGCCCAGACCGAAGCAGGTGCTTTTCTTAGGGGGCCAAACCCCGAGCCTTCGACCTGAAGGTCTGATCCACAAGGCAGTGGAGCATCGTAAGGAGATGCAATCCCATGGTAGCCGGTGACCAACGATTGGTTCATACGCCATTTGTTCCCGCAGGATACTGGTGCCCATGTGCACCATTGATTTGGTTTGGGATCCGGTTAAAGCGCCGGACATCCGCATTTCGTCCTCTCATTTTCGTAAACAACACCCCTGCCACGAGAAGGCAGTGAGTAGGACTTCCCTGGCAGAGGCTGTATACGCGCGGCCGTGTGAGAGTATTTCGAGAGGGAGAGCGGACTCTCCCCACTCTCGGCCGTATCAGGGCATTCGGGTGCTTTTATTCAGCACCATAATACAACACTACCCATTTTATCACTTGTTAAAATATCTATGTGTACATTACAATAATAAAACAGTTGCTGTTCAAATCGCTCACCCATTATTTCGTGGTTTTCACTTAGTTTAATGTACCCTACAGTGACGAAAATACTAGAGATCACAAAATCTGTGACAGGAGTCTTATAAACCGATTTCATGTTGGGGAACGTAATTATTAAATTGAATTTTCAGTCAAACGATTAATATTCTTTGTACGTATTACACAATGAATTGACTCAATCATTTCAAATAAATAATACATTTTAATGCGCCCTAGTATGACATACCATACAAGTGACTCGTAAGAGTACGATTTCAATTCCCATAGCTGATGCTCAATCGTTAGTTTAATTATTATTTCTCTACACATTTAAAAATCGTTCACTGACACATCTGTTTGTCTCGGCCAAAACAACTACAATCACCTGCAGTTAATCATTCACAACAACCAAATTGTGGAGAAAAGAACTATTCCCCAATTTATACAATGATCATCTGCCCTTTCAAAGGCGTTTTTTGCAAACTGTATATACTCATCGATAGTTCACAAGTTTAAACGTTTATTAATTTGAAGTGCCATCTGAAAAACCTTTCTCAAGAAGCAACTCGAACTACGTTACAAAACGTCTGTGATTCAGTTTTCCGCTCATCGGTTTATTGTATATATACTACTAGTTCATTGTTATTAATGTTCCCTATTTGTTTACTGCCATGTCAATAATATAATCGGTGAGACAATGATTTATGGACGACCCTTGGGCGAAGCTAAACTGATCTTCAGAATATCCACCTACAAACTAGGACTAAATGAGGGTTATAAACCAGTGTAAGGCACTAGAATTATGATTTTCAGTTGATCGTTAGGGTGAGGAATTAGATTTAGGGTTTTCATCAGCTAAAATGCCAAAACGCTATTTAGCCGAATGGATGAGTGAATTTCACGCCAAAATCCAAGACATGTTATCTTATATCTGATTGATTCTCTATAAATTGTAGTCTCGCCATATCATCTCATTTTCTGTGTGAAATACCAAGGCGTGCAAATTCCGACGAAATCGAAACTTCAGTCATCTTCTTGATCATATTACTAAATCTTATTCTCCGTTCCGCTGCTCTTACGTTTGTCACAGGCTTCCTAATTTTGTTCACCTTTCAATGAATAATATTGGTTTGAAAGCAGTTTCCTAAATATTTGAAGCTACGCAAGAAATAATTCACATATTTATAAAAGGTAGAAGAAATTCACATATATAGGTTTTCAATACCATCTGAATTTTTGTCATTATGAGGCCGTTTTCTGTTTGTAATTAAGTTCAAAGAATAATTAATTGATGACAAGTTATTATTGATCTGGTTGGTCACATTTTCTCGAAATTACTTGATGAATAAGAAGGACATTAAACATGTTATTGAAAACATCTCGAATATTATTGCTTATTTTTAGAATTAGTCAATCTATACGTTGATTCTTATACATGCCCACAAATACATATAATTTTGCTCTGTATTATTGTGTTCATTGTTTAGGCGAAAATTAACTAGCATTACTAATATACAGCTATTGTTGTACTGCTTATAATAACTTTTAAACATCCACATTCGTATAAGAAATATCATCCATTATCCAAATAAAGGTACTTCAATGAACATCTGTTGGACGATATCACTTACTAAAATTGTATAATCGTATTTATACTTATTTTACATGTAGTAGTTTTTCATCTATTATCTTTATTTAATAATCCGTTTTATTCTAGTGCTTGACGCAGTATTGTTTTTTCTAACAATTATTTTGCTTTCTCATCTTTTTTAAAAAACCTCAGGTGGAATATGAGAAAAATGTTACAAAGTACGCTAGAATATTTGAACGTATACCTTATTGTAAAGTACACAATATTGATCGACCGAATGTGTTAAATATTGTTATGACTCTAGAACGTATAAAAATAAATTAGAACAATAATTATTACCAGTTTGTTCTTTTTTTTAATAACCAGAATCATGGTATTTTCTGTTGAAAAGTCCATCATTTTTGGCATAATCAAAAACACTAGTGTTATGTTTGTATGAACTAATGATTCTTTTTGTATTTATGTCTATCTGATTTTGAATTCCAAATACGATACGTTCGATTATGCTTACCTAGTAATACCTGACTTAAATTGTGTTATTTCGGGGAGTTTATTATTTCACTCAAGAACTTGAAATCATTAGATTCTAATGTTGTGGTACGAAGTCCTTGGCAAGGCTCACATGTTGGTGATCAGAGTTAATGCAGATATATGTCGTACAGCAAGCAAATGTAAAAAATGTCATCGGTTGAAAACTCAGGCTTTGAAGTGGACTCCATGGCTAGTATCGTCTGAGGCCTGGGAGAGAATTCATGCAGACTATTGTGGTCCGTTTCTTGGCAAATACTATGCACTTGTAGTCATTGCTTCTTTTTCAAAGTGGCCTGAATTTTTTTCACAACTTCACCAAATTCTGATTTCACAATCCAAGCATTAAGAAAAGTATTTGGTTTAAATTGAGCTTTTCGAAGATTTATAGTTTGTACAGTAATCTGAATACTTCTAGTTATTATACAATATCAATTACGGTCGTCAATAACTGTGTAAAACTTCAGGTTCTTTTTATTTTTGCGTAGTATTCTTTACGACAAAAACAGTTTAAAATATAAGAAACTATGGAGACGTGACAGGAACTGTTAATTATAAGCATTATTAAATTCATGATAATGTTTGTTATAACTTCATTGTGCTTGCATTTTCTGCTTAATTATATATTCAACTTATAAACTCATTTTTCTGCGTCAAATGTTGTTCTTTTTTTACCTGTAGTGATGACTTACCAATAAACTTTTGCACAATTTTTGTTTTTGTTTTTATCGTAGTTTCATGGGAAGGTTTATTCGATAATCTCAACAGGTGGCTATTTGTGACAATTAGAAATAACTATGTGTTTGGTTTATAAGTACCGGTTTCGTTGTGAGAACTTATAAGTACTGAACCAGTTTAGAAGTTTCGCCAACTTGTTGCTTCGTATATATGACTTTCTTCACTGTAACAGTATTTTCGGGTGACTAATTGCAAGATTTGTAGTCAGAAAGAATACGAACTTTCACCAAGCTTTTACGGGATCTGAGACGCTACGAACTCATCGCTTGTAGCGTTCTTTTGCAAAATAATTCGAAGATTGCATGTAGTTGTTATATTTATATTTAAATAATTCATTACATGGACAAACGTGGAAGTGGTCAATATTAAACACAGTTATCATCAACCTGTAAATTGTTCGTTCACATAATTTTCCATGTCCAGAAATCTAATAAGTTGTTCACTAGTATAGACTTGTATATTGGGAAGATTTCAGATTAGCGATTGATTGACAGAAGCCATAAGTTGCATATCAGAAAACATATGGATAGATTCTTAGCCTAATCAATGCTACTCTGAAAAATAACAAATCAATCATGAAAAAAAGCGATCAAACTTTGTTATGAGTGGTAAATGGAATAGCGTCTGACTGAATGTAGTCACAAGTATTTTAAATGTTTGAACAACGGCCTTCATTCTTCAACGTTTCTACACTTTTACTTAGTCGTTTAGTCTCTGAGAACGAATAGTAAACACAGTATATACTGATTAACTAACTTCGACTATTACTACGAAATCTGTGAGAAATCCAGTTGCGACGTTTAGAATAATGACAGTAATTCACGGTTTACATACACTATAAATTCATGGGAGAGAACAATTAGAAATTAATAATCTATAGGTAATTTCAGATTTTGCTTAGAGAAATTCATTCGCTAACCCTATAACAGAAACAAATTAGTATTAACTAACAACATGGTTTAGTTTCCATGTTCAAAATAAGCACGTTTAGTGGCCCGTTTATTTGCCGTCATTCTGATCAGACGATATTCGTTGAAGGGCTCACCATTTTAGTGGCCCGTTGATCTGACTTCTATTAAGATCGTATGGATGATTGTTATCACCTTTTCTCGTATATCATCGTCGACTTGAATCGCGTTAGTCAATAACGGAATTAAATAAGTCGAATAACGAGAATTGATTTGCGAATACATATATTTCGTACATGAAGCGAATGAAACAGCAAAGCAAAATGACACGCAGGGAAGATGGCTGGGAAGCCAACTCGATTTTAGTCAAGCGTTACTCAATATTTCTAGTCAGACAAAATAAAGCTACAGACATGTGATTAATGGGATAAGAAGGGCACACACATATACGCTCATATAAAAACAGTCTAGATTGATAAGCGAATACTTAACAAGGTCAAAATATGACTCGAGTAGAATGAATAGAATGGGATGTCCGAAAGCTAGAATGACGTATATGGGCTTAAAATGATGAACGACACTACACACGCATTGTTTTACTTACTTTACTTACTTACTTACGCCTGTTACTCCCAATGGAGCATAGGCCGCTGACCAGCATTCTCCAACCCACTCTGTCCTGGGCCTTCTTTTCTAATTCCATCCAATTCTTGTTCATTTTTCTCATGTCTATTTCCATTTCTCGGCGTAATGTGTTCTTTGGTCTTCCTCTTTTCCTTTAACCTTCAGGATTCCATGTGAGGGCTTGTCTTGTGACGCAGTTCGGTGCTTTCCTCAATGTGTGTCCTATCCACTTCCAGCGCTTCTTCCTGATTTCTTCCTCCGCTGGGATCTGGTTTGTTCTCTCCCACAGTACGTTGTTGCTAATAGTGTCCGGCCAATGGATCTGAAGTATTTTGCGTAGACAATTGTTAATAAACACCTGTATTTTCTGGATGATGGCTTTTGTAGTTCTCCAGGTTTCTGCCCCATACAGTAGAACTGTCTTGACATTTGTATTGAAAATCCTGACCTTGGTGTTGGTTGACAGTTGCTTTGAGTTCCAGATGTTCCTCAGTTGTAAATATGCTGCTCTTGCTTTGCCGATCCGCGCCTTCACATCTGCATCAGATCCACCCTGTTCATCAATGATGCTGCCCAAATATGTAAAGGTTTTTACATCTTCCAAATCTTCTCCGTCAATTGTGATTGGATTGGTGCATGCTGTGTTGTATCGGAGAATCCTGCTTTTCCCTTTGTGTATATTGAGACCTGCTACTGCTGAGGCTGCTGCCACACTGATCGTCTTCTCCTGCATCTGTTGTTGCGTTTGGGATAGAAGGGCCAGATCGTCTGCGAAGTCTAGATCATCCAACTGCATCTTAGATGTCCATTGTATCCCGTACTTCCCTTCAGACGTTGACGTCTTCATGATCCAGTCGATCACCAGGAGAAAGAGAAAGGGTGAGAGTAAGCAACCTTGCCTGACACCGGTCTTTACTTCGAACGACTTTGTCAACTGTCCTCCATGCACGATTTTGCAGTGTAATCCATCATAGGAACTCTGTATGATATTGACTATCTTCTGAGGCACGCCGTAGTGTCGAAGAAGTTTCCATAGTGTTGTTCTGTCCACGCTATCAAATGCCTTTTCGTAGTCAATGAAGTTGATGTAGAGTGATGAATTCCATTCAATTGATTGTTCCACAATGATCCGTAGAGTTGCGATTTGGTCTGTACACGATCTATCCTTACGGAATCCTGCCTGTTGGTCACGAAGTTGGGCGTCTACGCAGTCCTTCATCCTGTTTAACAATACCCTGTTGAAGACTTTTCCCGGTATTGAGAGAAGAGTGATGCCCCTGTAGTTATCACAGTTGCTGAGATCGCCTTTCTTCGGTATTTTGATCAGAAGTCCTTCTTTCCAGTCTGTTGGTACTTGTTCCTCATCCCAAATCTTATTGAAGAGAATGTGGAGTATCCTTGCAGTTGCCGCTACGTCTGCTTTTAGTGCCTCTGCTGGAATGTTGTCCGGTCCTGCTGCTTTGCCACTCTTGATTTGTCTGATGGCCATGCTGATTTCTTCAATTGTTGGTGGGCCAACATTGATTGGGAGGTCCGTGGGTGCTGCTTCGATGTTGGGTGGGTTCAGTGGAGCTGGTCGATTCAAGAGTTCTTTGAAGTGTTCTACCCACCTGTTTTGTTGCTCTTCAATGTTGGTGATTACCTTGCCTTCCTTGCTTTTCACTGGTCGTTCTGGTTTGCGGCGATTTCCAGAGAGTTTCTTTGTCGTGTCATACAGTTGTCTCATGTTTCCTTCTCTTGCAGCCTTTTCCGCCGTCGTTGCTAAATCTTCCACATATTTACGTTTGTCGGTTCTGATGCTCCTCTTCACTTGTTTGTTTATTTCCGTGTATTCAGCTTGTGCCTTGGCTTTTTCTGCTCTTGTTCGGCTGGTATTGATTGCTGCCTTCTTGTTCCTCATTTCTTGAATCTTATCCAGTGTATCAACAGTGATCCATTCCTTGTGATGGTGCTTCTTGTGACCCAGGACCTCATGACATGTTGAAGTGATTGCCTCTTTGATCCCCTTCCAGTTGCTCTCCACAGTAGTTCCTTCTCCATTGAGTAGATCATGAAAGGCCTGGAACTTGTTGCTGAGGACTATCTTGAATTTGTTGAGTTTGTTAGTATCCTGAAGAAAGGCCGTATTGAACTTTTGTGATATTGTCTGCCCCGTTGTCCAGTGCTTCTTGAGTTTCAATTTCATCTTGGCGACCAGCAAGTGATGATCTGATGCTATATCAGCTCCTCTCTTGGTTCTCACGTCCTCTATAGTCCTCCTGAACGTTTTGTTGATGCAAATATGGTCGATTTGGTTTTGTGTATAGTGATCCGGTGAAGTCCATGTGGTTTTGTGTATGCGTTTATGTGGGAATATGGTGCCGCCTATGACCAGCTTATTGAAGGCACATAGATTTGCAAATCTCTCACCATTTTCGTTTCTTTCTCCCAGTCCGTGTCGTCCCATGATGTCTTCATATCCAGTGTTGTCCGTTCCAACCTTGGCGTTGAAATCTCCCATCAGAATGGTCAGGTCCTTTGTTGGGCACTTCTCGACGATTGACTGCAGCCTATTGTAGAATTGATCTTTAGCGTCTTCATTGTAGTCGTTGGTAGGCGCATAGCATTGGATGATGTTCATTGAAATGCCCTCTTTCTTTGTTTTGAAAGAGGCTTTGATGATCCTTGGTCCATGAGATTCCCATCCTATAAGTGCATTTTGCGCTTGTTTGGACAGCATCAATGCAACTCCTTGTGTATGTGGTGCATTTTCTTCTTCATGGCCGGAGTATAACAGAAGCTCTCCTGAAGTTAGTCGTTGTTGTCCAACTTGTGTCCAATGTGTTTCACTGATCCCAAGTACCTCTAGGTTGTATCTTCTCATTTCTGCAGCAATTTGGAAGGCTCTCCCGGTGTCCCACATTGTACGAACATTCCATGTACCTAAATAAATGGTCGCTCTGGTTGTCAGAAGGGGCATCGGCCTCGTAACTTCCGAAGGAATTCGGCTTTCATCATGAGGCGTCATAATTCTTCTAAATGAAGACCTTCTGACTCCCAGGGCAGAGTTTAAAAGATTTGAATAATTTTTCTGGTTAGCGTTTTTTTAGCGAGTTAGTTTTCTACGGGATGGGGACGCTAACCCCATGCCCAACCCTCCTCCTTTATCCGGGCTTGCCACCGGCAGTAGCCCCCGGAGGGACTCCAGGCGGAGTTGCATTGTTTTACTAATAAAGAAAAACGATCGACAGAGGTTAGACCAACTCGTCAACAACATGGCTCAGCAACAGACATGTTACTACGAATGAGAGAGACCATTGGTCAATGGATCTTCGACAAAAGCCCGTTTAGACAACTTTTCTTGTCTCAGATTCCCCAACAAGTGCAAGCAGCGCTCATCTCATTTCAAAGCAACGCTTTAGACGAGCCGAATGCTTCTGCCGATCGAGTTCTGGAGATCACGAGAACTTACGACGTCGACATCTATTCAGTCTAAGAGAAAGCTCAAACGACACAAAATAACGTTACGGAACTCTGTCATACTCTGACACGTTGCTTTAGTAATCGTCATAACTATAGACGATCTCAAAATCCTAGAAGGTGTGCTATACGGAAACGATCTGTCTCTAGATTATGAGGGACAGATAATTCCGAGTGTTTCTGGTGTCATAATCAGTACAGTAAATCTTCTCGAATTTGTGGAAAACCCTGCAGTTTCCCAAGCCTCAAACTGATTGACAAGGAAATTGTTACTTGAAACTTCCAGGCCAGTATCCGATAATGACAACCGTAGTCGTCTGTTATATATCACCGATGTGAATACGATAGTTCGCTACCTTGTTGGCACTGGAGCAGAAGTTATTGTTTTTCCAGCAAATTCTAACGGTCGACTACACGAAGCAGTTTTCAACTTACAGGCGGCAAATGGGAAACCGGTCGCCACCTATGGTAAGCGATTTTTGTACCATAACATGGACTTACGCAAACCCATTCACTGGATCTTCGTTGCTGCAGATGTTTCTATGCCAATCATTGGCATAAACCTGCTACAACATCATAAAGTACTTCTCGACACGCGCAAACGGAGGTTGCTAGACGGAATTACTAGTCTATATGTGTAACTTCATTTTTCGGTTGTGGATTATCCCAAGTCATAGTAAGGCAGACGATCGATCCGTACTACAAACAAATACTCGAAAAGTACCCTGAGATATACCAAACACAACCGGAATCGCCATGTGTGGACAGCAATGTTACATACCACGTCACGACTACAGTACCACCTGTATTCTCGAAAGCGCGCCGACTAGCACCCGAAAAGATGAGGTTGGTTATGAACGAATCGGAATATATGACAGATTTAAGAATCATTCGGTGATGGAAGCAATTTCCTTCAGATGTAATTTTAATCTATTCTCTAGACTACAGGCAAAGATAACGTCTAGCTGTGGAATCCAGGATGGCCGTTTTGTCCTATTTGGGACTCGTCTTCTGGATGTATCGGCATCCTATATTTGATGTTCACTTTGTGACTTGAACCCAGTACTGTTCGCTTCAAAGGCCATCACTCTATTCAATCAACTACAGAGTTCTGATAGCCACTTGCTAGGGAGATAGTGTTGTTTATTTAAATCTCCGGTACTTTGAACACATCGTAGAAGCCCGAGAATTCATTATTTTTACCTAATAAAAAACACCTCTCCTTCTCTTTGAGTTCATCTTCAGACAACTAGACTACATTTCTCAGCTCACTTTGGTCATAAAACACATTTCTGCCCCAAAGAATGTAGCGGTAGATGCTTTGTTTCGTATGACTTGATTAAAAAGTTTCCAATAAATCGATCTTCCTAAATTCATTCAGCATAAAAAAGGAGATTACGTTTTACAGCACGAGTTGATTTCAACAACTTTGAAACTGCCTATTAAATTAATGGGGACAGGTAATTTAACCTTATTATGCGACAAATCTACAGGTAGGGATCGTTCAGTCGTGTCCAAACATTATTGGCGCAAAATTTTCAATACGTTACACAAACATTCTCATCCAGGTGTTCGTGCAACCATCAAGCTCATAGGAGGAGGATTTTGCTGGCCTCGTATGAATAAAGATGTGAGAGAATGGGCATGTAGGAACTATGGTCTGCTATGATATTAGTACTGCTCGAATAATAGACCTAATCCTAAAATTGTAGATTTGTCATGATATAACTGCCCAATCTATAAGATCTTACGTGGAAGTTACATCATTGTCTGCACGAACTCATTGCATCATAACAATTACCAATACATGATGGAGAACAAGCTTAGGCTAGAGATAGGACAGTATATTTAATGTGGTTAAAAGATATAAGATAACATGTACCACGCCTGTATGGCCGAGCCATGCCTTTCGATCGACCCCAATTCATTCAACTCATTCTTCCCGCCTTCTCCATCGTTAGGTATTTCTCCGCGTTAAATATTGAATATCCATCTTCCGAGTAATTTCGTATTTAGCTTTGAGGATTGTATGGTTATGGTCCAATGCCACTAAAGGACACTCCTGTGTAAGCTGATCGAAATCCAAGGTGATTGGACACGACAAATGTCCCTTAGGCTCTTTCACAACTGTAGGTGCTCTTTTCGAACATTTTCATCCGGATTTAGTAGGACCTGTGCCAGATTCAAATGGATACTCCTATATCTTCACTTGCGTAGACTGTTTCACTCGATGGCCAGGAGCAGTAGCCATAAAGAATATTACTATTGAAATAGTGACCCACGCCCTCATCAAACGATGAATAGCAAATTTCTACTGCCTTCAAATATCGCCCAATCAGTGGACGCCAATCGAAATCTGAACTTTTCCGATTTCTGATTACACTATTAGAAGTCGTGCGACTCCAATCGACCGTCTACCGCCCACAAGCAAACGGGTTTGCAGAACGCTTTCAACGACATCTCAAAGCTTCCCCTCAGCTGCAAACAGTTCACGGCGAACCGACGCTTTTCCATTCATCTTATTTGGTATTCGCAGTGCAGCAAAAGCTGACATTGGATACACTGCAGCTCAAGTAATTTGTGGGACGACACCTCAACTTCCAGGAGAGTTCGTGGATCCTTCAACTGCACCAATGAATAAGGATCTAAACTCTTACACGAGCAGTCCTACAAATCTAACGTGTTCAGTTAAACCTGTTTCCACTCAACCACGACCAACTGATATTTTCGTTAAAACTGCCGTACCATATAGTACATACGTCTTTGTACGTCGCAACTCACTTCGATGATTTCTTGTCTTGGCATACGAAGGATACTTCAAAGTCGTTCAGAGTAAACCCAAGCACAATATGATCGATAAGAACGGAACTAACTGAAGGAGTATCCTAGCTGAAGGTGCTCAGTCACACATCCTCACCAAATTATGAGCGGATACTCTGTGCTCAACTTCTACAACCGCTAGCCAGTTTAGATCAATCGCTTCTGGATATATCGATATTCTATCAGATATATCTTCGAGTTTTTTTTGCTTCTGACTTCTTATTTCACTGGGCTGTCGTGTTTCGATCAGTGAAGGCGTTATTGGTTAAGATGCTGTCAAACTCCGAATACTTGTGGCACCTATAGATCAATACACTATTGCCACGTTGATGTTGACTAACCGTTTACTTAGATAGTGAATAATAACAACAGCAAACTACTTATGAGCCGAGATAAAGGCTTTTTGACATGAAACGGTAAGAATTTCGTTCGCAACTGATACATAAAGATATCTAAAATACACGATAACATGTGACTTGTGGGAAGGAATTCATAGCTTCACTTACTCTGCATGCTTCCGTAGGCCAAAACGTTTTGAAGTTTCGTCACATACTCTTATAGTTTTAGAAATCAATTGTTTGACCTGTGACGTTTAACTACATATCAAGGAGATGTGGCGCTGTAAACAATCTTTGAGTTTTCGGTGTGTTTAGGGTGTTTCTCACAGTGGTATAAGTAAGCCAGGTATTACTTTATGATTTGAAGATTATCGATTGTTCAAGTGATACATGTGGAACGATTGAACTGAAAACGGTTTGCATCTGATCGATTGGTTTATTCCAATGGCATCCTTAACCATCCGACGAGTTACACAGTACATATCAAACAATTTAGGATAGTGAACTACTTTCTAGATAGTCCAAAAATTCTCGGGCCTCAAAGCATATCCAGTTCTTCAGCTTAACTAAATAGTTGACCCTTCATTATTATCATGGTAGACATTGTCGACTGATGAAATAATCAGTTTCGTCTACCTAAAGTGTATTACAAATCCTTGAGTTGGAAAAAAACCACAAATCTATTTTCGAATGTTGGCCTGTCTGCATTTGGTGATAGTACGTGCAGCTAGTACTACTCATCGTTTTTATTTTAGAATTGTCAAAGCCATTCTATATGTTAATTGCCCCTTCTATTATTAATTGAACTTTATTTTAATAATTTGAAGAGCAGTTGGGTATCACTTTCAACAGCTCTGTTAAAAAGAAGCTCAATAAAGAGGTGGCTTTGTTTTGCTTAGTTGACCGGTTAACCTAACACTTGATAAGAGCGAATATAAAGGATGAGAATAGAAGTGTTCCATCTGTTTCATTGTGCATCATAAGCTATGCAGTAAGATCCCGTAGCTTCCTGTTTGAGTTTACGAAAAGCAGTTGCACCTCACTATATACTTCATTCCTATCATAACCAATCTTGAAGTGTTCTTGTGATCGTTAGGACTGATATTCTCTCCCTTTTTTCAATCAAGGTGTGCTTAACCTTTTAATAGTCCATTTCTAGATGCAAAGGAACTCTCACGTTTCCGGTTTTATGAACAAAATTATGACGTGGTGCACACAACGCGTCGTATAATCTTGTATCAAACTATAAACTAAGTTCGTGTTACTGATATCAGTTGTTCCCACATTAAAGTACACTAGTTCTGTTTAAACATGATCTCATCTATCGTGCTACTTGTGCACCCTAATGATCCACAAACATTTAGGTACCTTGTGAAATGTTCTGACGCGATATTTTCGGTAAACAGTCATCTCAAACGCTTGTTATAAGCTATTTATGGACATTAGCTTTTTGGTAAATTTATTTTTTCTAGGTTTATTTCTCTTACAAACAAAACTGATCTGTTTATGTTTCACCACTTTTTCTAGGTCTGATATTGGTAGACACTCCTATACTTGTAAATTATTGTTTGGTAAATCACAAGATTCATCACAATTCATTTTTGGATTATTTTCTGAAATAACATGACTTGGTATGTTTACTTATTTATCCAGAATTTTCGATTAAAAACAAGTCCTCGTGTCTAAGTTGGTTGACAATATCTTTACAACGTTGTTTCTTCTGTTGTTCACACCATACTCATTAGAATTTAGTGAACATGTAGTGAGGCCTTTGAATGTCATCGGTTGTTGTAATGGCGCTTGTGTATTCTAAGAATCATGAAATAGTCATTTGGTTGAGCGCTGATTCAGCAATACGTAAACTAAACACAATAACGTCACATGAGAATTTTCCATACTATATGTATATACATTTATTACTCGATCTATCAAATGTACATCCTACATTTGTCAAATTAGATAGTCTTGATTTAGTTGACAATTCTGAGTTTTTTTGTCGTGCACCTGATATTTGCTTATCTATAGTTGTGACAGTATATTCAACTATTGGTCAAGTTCATCGCTTCTGAAATAAGACCTATCTCATATAAGTTAGATAAAATTGCCGCACAGCGACTACGTGACAGTAAATACCAAAATATCGGGTTTATTTGGTACTGGCAAAGAATAAAACTACTATTATTTTATAGCGCTACCTGTTGAACCTCTTTTTTGGTGGTCTTCACAAACTCAGTGAGCAATGCGTCCAAAACGTGTAATGTTCTGTTAAATTGTGGGTTAGAAGACTCATTAGCTCTAGTGGGTTGGTGTGTAGTCAGATTTCGGTTTTTTTTTCAAAATTGTATGGATTACGGAGTAGGTGATATGTTTATCTGCTTATCAAGGTGCAACTAATACTGTATGGCAGTATGTTTTATTTTATGGATAAGAAATTGGAATTATAAAAGTAAAAGGCATGCTTAGACTGTATGTTTCTAATAGACGTCTTCTGCACATTTCTTGCTAATGCTGGAAGTACCGATTTAAAAATGTAAGTTTGAGATGCATGGTACTAAGCAATCCTGCTAAATCGAATAAGGCTGTAAATTCTTATCGACTAATATAGTAGGGACATGTGCTAAGTAAGAACGACGATTCAGTAGTTAAGGCATTCAGGTTTCAACCACTACTTCGCATATTAGAACCCCACTCCTTCAGTTTAAACAACCAAATAATATCTCTAGCCCTTTCACTTAAATGTTTTATTTATTCAAACGTAAACATTGGTACAAAGAGGTAACAAATAGATATGCGCCACATAAATCATTCGGTATGTGCGAGGGCTGGGATACTGCCCGGGTGCCCAACCTGAAGCAGGTGGTTTTCTCAAGGGGTCACACCGGATTCTTTGAACTAAAGGTCTAATCCACAAGGCAGTGGAGCAACGTCGGGAGATACGGTCTTGTGGTAGCCGATGACCGACAACAGGTTTATAAGCCTTTTGTTCCCTTAGGATCCTGGAGCCCATGTGCACCATTGTTTTGGAATCAGGGTTTTCCAACTCCCCTAGGTGGATCCTCCATATCCACTGAGCCGGTTAAAGTGCCAGACATTCCTTTTCGTCTTCTCAATTTCATAAACAACATTAATTTCGCGAGAAGGCGGTGAGTAGGATTTCCTGACGGTGGTTGTATGCACCTGGCTATGTGATGCATTTCGAAAGGAAGAGCTGACTCTCCCCACTCTCGGCCGTACCAGGGCATTTTGGGGTAGATTATCGTTCGAGGACAAGTTTGTGGAGTTATTGACTGCTGGATCAAGGTCTGTAGGTTGGTCCAGACTACCTCGTTAGGGCCCTCTTGATTATCTCAACTATTAGTTGGAGACGTTTGGTGATTTGACTCGAAATCCCTTACTGGCGTAAATGCGATCAAACCATATCTTCTAGAGCTAGCCCCAGTATTTCTTCATACACAAACCTCTTCATTTTGTCTTCTTAAACCTATCCTGTATTCAGTCTATCTCACTGTCATTGGTGCCATAATTATTTTGGCTGGGTTTGTATTCGTTATATCGATTCCATATTATCGTGCTCAGTGGTATGGCGACTCGGGTTAACGCGTAATTGCGTTAAACTCTCTGTCGATTATAACTGACTGGTTCCCAAAAATGTAATGTTTTAGAAGGGAGAATAGCTTTTCATTTAATGATGTTTGTTTTGGAAAATATATTACAACTTGGATAAAAACTCAAATATACAAGGAAATTTCAAGACACCTACTATTTAAACAAGTTAAAGAGAAACGTTTGTATGTTGTGTAGTCCAAAGTAAAAACATAATAGGTTAGCTAAAACAACAATGTTCTGTCGTTGTTTTCTTTTGAAACCCATACAATACATTCCGTGTTTAGATCACTTGAATCTACTTAGCAAACCAGAACAATCAGATGTGAAAGATGAATAGATGTCTAATCGATTTCTAGTACAATTTGTTGATTATATCTGTTTTGTCTCTCATCTATCACATGTTCAAATTTCTTCTGTTTTAGATATTAATGATTACATGGACCAGACAGATGAATTGGTATTGATCAGTCATGAAGCAAAAGAATTTTATGATGAAATTCGTGGACTAGTTGTTGTCTTTTTGCTATTCACCATCCTTTTCTTTATTGCTCATATCACACTTCAGTATTTTCTAACTAAAACGGAATGTGAGCTAAAGCCATACCGAGGTGAACGTTTGGCTTACCAACTGGTCTTGGGTATATGTACATTTACACTGACGATAGGCCTGACTTCATACAGCTTATTGCCGTTCACCATCATCACCAATGAGATTCTAATTATTTTTCCTAAATCTTATTATGTACAATGGTTAAATGGGGAGTTAATACAAGACTTGATATTGCTTATAAATATCGGGTGTAAAATATCTTATTTAACTATACCATTTTCTTTTTTTCTGTTAAATTCCCAAGGATTTCTATACAAATCACATTCCTTGACACCACGCTTGGTTTATTCTTTCACAATGGTTTTATTCTTTTACATTTTATGTTTTGGTACGTCATGGTCGCTAACCAGCTTTGTATCAGCATTGAATTATTATTTTTTATCAGATGTGTTACCTGCTAGTGATAGCAACTCATTCCTTGCATCCCATCATCAGACTTATTTTTCTGTCAGTCCTACTCATCACCTTGACTATTATGAAAATCACCCAGTTTCACTTCTCCTGGATTACGTGAAGTCTGTTGGCTGGATAAGATTTCTTCAGGACGTTTTCATTCAGGTGATATTTATGTCAGCCTTAGAATTAATTCAAATGACAGCCTCTTTATTAGGACTGTTATTATTATTTATTTGTACTCCAGTGGGTCTACTGTCTATCGTCTTAAACCTAATAACAATCAGTATACATTCTTTACCGAATTTAATACCAAAGCAAACATTGCATAATCGTATTGAACAATTAAATTTTGAAGCGTTAACCGTCATGGATGACATTAATTGTATCCAACTTCTGTATACTGCTGGCAATATGATGCATGAGGAAGATAATTTTTTGGTTCATAAATCAATCTGTTTTCGGAATTATATCGATGTCAAGTCAAGAGAAGAGTTATTACTCAAGTATACAAATGAGTTGGATTTGTTGAACTTAGAAATATTACAGATTAAACAACGTATAAACGCACGTACGTTTTTGCGATTTATACGCGAATCTACACACTTACTTTTTTATTTCTTCTGTTTAATCTTGCTTTTTGTTCTGTTTCGCTTATTGGAATCGTTTGTATTCTTCAATATCATTGATCTCTTATGGAGTATGGTTTTTGGCAGTTATGGTAGTAAAGACAGCAGTAGTTATTTGGTGACAACAGAAAGCAAAGATTACTCATCATTTCCGGGTAATTCTGCAGATTACAGTTTTAAACTTGGCTTAAAACCTGTTTCGTCACTTGGACATATTGGGGCTGCTTTCCAGGTAATTTTTTTCATTTACATATGCCCTTGTGTATGTAAATAAGTAAGATATAACTGGTTCCAAACATTTTTAGCGTGTCTGCTTATCTGTAATCATATGGTATTTTAAATAGCAATTACATAAACCACTCCCATTACACTTAATACATAATAGTTTAGACGTCCTATTCTGCTAAGTTTACAAAGCTTTTCAATATATTGCTGTTTGAATGGTATTGATTGGGCATCATACAACCAATCTTCATCAAATTGTGTTTGTAATATTAAAGAACTTGTACCTGTTCTGATATTTCGATTCCAGTGATAAATAACTGTGCTTGTACATGCTTCATAATGATATTCTGAAACCCTATTTTTGAGTATGAATTAGACCGGATTCTGAATTCAAGGATTAGAGATACTGGTAGGTATGAATAACGTCTTCCAGTCCTTTTTATTACTTGATTGGTAAGTCAGTTGACATGCGGGCTTCTACGGATATCTACACTGCATGTGATTTTATATATTAATAATACAGTTCAAGCCGACCATTAATAATTATGCTCATTTTGCTCCATAAGTATTAGCGTTCACCGTTTTGCTGTATAAGTATAAAGTACACCACAGTGCTGATGGATTTGATTTGATAAAGACGTTTAATATATGAAAGCGTATTCAGGTTTTTACGCCATCCACTACTTGTACACGTCATGTGGCTCAATGGTTCCAGCTGAATTTTAAGCTCCTATGGGCTTTGTTCCACCTATTAGGTTTATGAAAACGAGTTTCCTGACTTGCGCCCCCATAATAATCGCGGCGAAATTCCTTTCAGATAAAGTATATGCAATCATTAATAAACGAAAAAGTTCTCATGACACCAAGAACATTATTCAACAGTTTCTGTTATTTTCCTTGAACACTTGCGTTTACAACAGACATCATACTGGATTGTCTTTTTTCACTTTTAATACTTGTTTTATCATAATGTTTTAAAATCTCTTCAATAAACACAAGTAGTAAACAATCAGGGAATTTCACTTGTTAACCAAAATATTCAGTAGTTTTAGGTATAATAGGTCTTGTCTTAAATGCTACGTTGCTAAAATTGTGTAATTATTATAGAATTTATATTTTCAAACCTATCGTTAAATATAATAAATAATACTCAAGTTTTACAACATTCTGTTTATCGCGTTCCCAATTGATTGATTATTTCCTTTCTAGGTCTGTCTGGTGCTGTTTCTTCTTGTATTAAGTTTGTGGGGTTTTTACTCACTCCCATGTGCTCGTTCTCTTCGACCGAGATATCACGCAACGAGTTTGGATATTATGTTGGCGAACATTTTGTTATTCCTAATGTTAAGTGCCGCACTTCCTCTGCAAACCAATCTGCTAGGATTAACCACACTCACCTTACCTAGTCCACTTAAAACAGAAGCTATCATGTTACCCACATATTCAGGATGTTCAAGTCATGTTTGCGAATCTTCACAAAACCGATTTATTTGTGCTGAAAATACGTCCAACTGTCCGAGTACAAAATCGAGCAAAAAATCTATCAGTTGGTGGACAAAACTGATCAGTGGCACATACTTCGATTCATTCAACTGGTTTAATTTTATCCATATAATTAATCCATTTAGTTCTTCCTCTCCGAATAATCTAGATGAGTTAACGGTACCCCGCCCGATCCAAGCTAAAAAACAATCGGTTTTCCGTCAGTTTATTTCTCGTGCTTTCGGCTATTCATCTGTTTCGCCTAGTTATGGGCTAGGCCTAGTCATATTAACGTATAACATTTGCTTCCTGGTTTCTTCAATGTGGATTGCTGGCCGACGATTAAGAGATGCTACGTTGTCAATCAGTTTAGATGTGGTAACGACGATTCGGTGTTTGCATCAGTTGGACATCACATCTAAACCTAGTTCACACTTAGAACGTACGGAATGGCTAAATGAACTGCCTTGTACCAACGGTTCAGAAGAACTTGATCGACGTATTTACTAGTCATAGTCTATTCTATCCTGTCGACAATTCGATTGTTATGTGTGTTTACACAACTAGTGGAAATATTTGTAGTATATTCATAGGTTTGTTTTCCTGCATTTTCCTCTCTTGTCGAAGAACTAGTCGATATATATAAACTTTCGAGTCGATAAAATTTTAGTACTTGTTACTTCAAGTAATCTCTTTGTTCGAGTATATTTTAATTTATGTCTAATTTTCGTTCGATACTTTGACAGTTATTGGTTGCAATTTCATTCCTCTTTTGAATAGCCATTCGATTTTCTTTATTATTTTTCGGTTTTGGTTTTTCTCAATTTCGATAATCTGTTGTACAAAAGATCATTAACTTAATTCTATGGCTAGAATTTTATTTTGTACATAAATGAATTGTAAATGAAATAATCTTACATTTGCAATTGTTATGATTATTATTGCCTGAAAAGTGGGTTACTCTGATAAATGAAAGATATATGTGATTGTTTTTGGTTTTGCTTACGTGACAAAGTGGAGGATATACATATCCCCATAGTGACATCAATCATTAATAATATTTTGCTGGAGATATGGGAAAATTACTATTGGTCAACTTCTCAACTGCTCTTCTACTTATTTAGAAAGCTATTTAACTCTTCGTTAAGAAGACACATCATGATATCATATGCAAGTTCATGTTCTTAACATTTTTGAAATTAGCTCTATGTATTTTGTGATCCTCACCGATGATTCATCTATTTGATGAGATCTCAGCTTTGGCTAGATCTGATTCAGCTAGTATATCTGGATTTCTGCGCAACAGTAATAGAGGAACACCATCATTATGCTTTCTTTGATGTACGGAAACGAGTGTTTCGGACAAGCCCAACTATCATATGCCAACTACCTTTCGCCAGTCAATCACCTACAATGTAGGACCACAGACATATATCCATCGGTCAAAGTTGCCATACCTCATTAGCACAACAAGATGAACGCCGATTCTTAGAAGCAGTTACTTAAGTGATAATAATATATAAAAAGACATTCCATTTAAGGATATGGTCCGAGGGGAAATAACGTATATATACACCTACGCCATTGCGATAGATTCTAAGCCATGTCACCCAGAGTGTGCAACCATTGGTTACGTTAGTCACGCGGACCCCAACCAAGTAGTCTGCATATACCAACGTGGCTCAGACCAGAAGTTAGTGACTTTGTGGACTGATGCCACGTTTTGGTTTGGCCGCCCCTTACATTGTTCCATCCGTCTCCGACACTAGTCAAGACTGTGTGCCGTGGTAATCGGTGGTTGGACGTGCGTAATACGTGACCCAACCATCAGCCGATTTAGATTCACAACCTCATCAACTGACTTACCGTAAGTCCTTAATACACTATTATATCTTTAAGGCAGCTAGTTTCCCCGAGTCTTTATGTCGTTCCAGATATACTATATTGATGTTCGCCAACAAATACACAAAAGGATTTATACTTTCCATCAATATTTTATACCCCAGTGATATTCAGTCTTACCTTATTTATATCATTTCACTTGTGAGCTGCATTATGTTCATTGGATGGTAAAGTTAGTTAACATGCCAATTAAACTATACCTTGTTTAATTGCCTCGGTTCACCACCATGAAGAACCTGGAATCAGTGGACGGCCGTCTCGTCCTAGTATGGGACTCCTCAGTAGTGCGCATCCATGATCCCGCGAGATTCGGACCCAGGACCTATCAGTCTTGCGCGCGAGCGCTTAACCACTGAGCCGGCATCCAACAGTGTTAATGTCTAACTTTAACTAATCCACGAAATTGCTCCACCGTACACCATTGTCTTCAGTGAGCTGATATCTCACAACAGACCTGGTTGAACTCCACTGGTAACGGCTTCTCACTAGAACTCCAGGAAATGCCTCTCTTGAAATTACTAAAATCTCCACAAAACCCCTTCTGATAATTTTACATTAGTTAAAAATATTTTTTCTTAAACGCAGAGATGTATTCTTGGTAAATAATAATTCACAAGTGAGGCGTTGCCTTCTATTTTTCAATAAGACTAATCATGAGAATGAATTTAATTCTGTAAAATGAAGTTGTAAACAAAAATACAAATCTAGAATGATTTCATTAAACGTACAAAGGCAGGACATTTTTTTCTCCCAACTAATCACAAAAATATTTATACATAAATGTCGTAATATAACACAGTTAAGTAATATTTTCTCAGCTTTTATTATTCACGTGTCGTCATGTGATTGGATTACCACTTGATTGAAATTAGAGTGAATTTTTTAGTATTTAGGGATAATTACAGCTCCCGAATGCCCTGGTACGGCCGAGAGTGGGGAGAGTCCGCTCTCCCTCTCGAAATACTCTCACACGGCCGCGCGTACACAGCCTCTGCCAGGGAAGTCCTACTCACTGCCTTCTCGTGGCAGGGGTGTTGTTTACGAAAATGAGAGAACGAAATGCGAATGTCCGGCGCTTTAACCGGATCCCAAACCAAACAAAGGTGCACATGGGCACCAGTATCCTGCGGGAACAAATGGCGTATGAACCAATCGTTGGTCACCGGCTACCATGGGATTGCATCTCCTTACGATGCTCCACTGCCTTGTGGATCAGACCTTCAGGTCGAAGGCTCGGGGTTTGGCCCCCTAAGAAAAGCACCTGCTTCGGTCTGGGCACCCGGGCAGTATCACAGCCCACACACAAATATGATGAACTGCCTATAACTATGGAAACTGCTTTACTTGCTTCAACTAACAATCAAATGATTATTATTATTATTTACCACATTATTCACCCTCTTTTATACTTATACAGCGGCTCGTCTTTGGTGGAAATTCGACTGTATCTAAACGTTCTCGAGTCACTGTCCGGTTGAAAATTGTATGTTACCACCGAATACGAGGACTGAAGCAGTTTTTCTGAAACCACGTGCACCATTCAAACTGGCTGCCTTCAACGTTCGCACATTTATGCAGGTCGGACAACAGATAGGGCTGGCTATGTCTTTGGAAAGTCTTAATATCGATGTTTGTTGTCTATCCGAGACCCGTATTCAAGACTCTGGCGAAGTACTACAAATTCGATCTCCATCTGTCGCTTCGAAAAGCTTGTTTTACGTGCGCTTATCCGGGGACCCTGTGGCATCTTCGTCTGGTCTTGCTGGCGTTGGTGTCGCACTAAGCGCTAGAGCTGAGGCAGCACTAGACCATTAACAGTCGGTTATGTGCTGTTAGATTAGAAAGTTCCATCAAAGTGAGAAGAAATCGGCGTGAGAAACGATGTCTTTTCGTCATCTCCGCCTATGCCCCGACAGATTGCAGCCCGGATGCAATCAAGGATGAGTTTTACCACCAGTTATCTGTTCTTCTCCAGAAAGTGCGTTCGACAGATATTGTAGTACTAGCCGGAGACTTGAATGCTCAGGTCGGGCGTCTAGGCACAGAAGAGAGTCGTTTAGGTGGCCGATGGGGACTCGTTGGTCGCAGGTCAGATAACGGGGACCGTCTACTGCAACTTTGCACAGACCACAACCTGTTTCTGGCTAGCACTAACTTTCGGCACAGTCATCGCCGATGTGCCACCTGGCGTCCTCCCTCTGCATCTCAAGCCTGGACTCAGATTGATCACATCGCGATCAGCTACCGCTGGCGTGGTTGTGTACAAGACTGCCGCTCCTTTTGGAGTACCTATCTGGACTCTGACCATGCCTTGGTCTGCGCCAATCTTGCCTTACTTTTCAGTGGACAACGAAGTGACGCCATCAACGGATTGATGTTAGCAAGCTGGTTGCAACTTCTGTTGCAAGTAAGTATCGAACCGAGCTAGCCTCTAGGCTAGCTACCACTCCACCGAAAAGTATAGATGAGCATTGGTTGCAATTGCATGACGCCATGAAAATGGCGGGAACAGTCAGTTGTGGGTTTGCGAAACGTCCCGCTTTTAAGCACTGGGTTTCTTCTGGTTCCTTACAACTCATTGAAGCCCGTCGGTCTACTCCGGGTGACCGTGAGTTTGACCATAAACGAAGGATGTTACGTAAGGAAATTGGGCAAAGCTTGCGTAAGGACCGAGAAGCCTGGTGGTCGATGCGTGCTAATGAGCTGGAAGCAGCAGCTGCATCTGGTAACTACCGGAAGCTCTTCCAGCTCATCCGAGCCACTGGCAGCAAGAAGTCTGGTGTGAGTGAAACAATCTGCGAGGATGATGGGATGCCAATCACTAACATCCATCGACGTCTTGGACGATGGGCAGAATTTTTCGAAGGGCAGTTCAACTGGCCTGCTGCTCCGGCAACATCGGTCAGACTGTCCTGCCCTCCATGGCCGGTGACGACTGATCCACCAAATGAGGAGGAAGTCCGCAAGGAACTCCAACTCTTGAAGCGTTACAAATCACCTGGCCCAGATGACTTACCTCCGGCTCTTTTTAAAGATGGTGGTGACTTTTTGACTAAGGAATTGACGACGTTGTTTACAAAGGTTTGGGAACTAGAGAGTGTACCAACGTCATGGAATGAGTCGATAGTTGTCCCTATCTTTAAAAAGGGTTCACGTCGTTCCTGTAACAACTATCGGGGGATAAGTTACTTCCGATTGCGTCCAAGCTATTGGCTTCCGTCATTCTTCGTAGGTTGTTCAAAACCCGAGAAAGATTGACTCGCGAGGAGCAGGCTGGGTTTCGTTCTGGTCGAGGATGTATTGATCATATCTTCACCCTCCGCCAAATGTTAGAACACCGCCATACTTTTCAAAGGCCAACAATCGTAGTGTTTCTTGACATCAGGGCTGCCTTCGATTCGTTGGACAGGACTGTTCTCTGGGATTGTCTATTGAAGAAGGGTGTGCCTGAGAAGTTTATTAACATCCTAAAAGCCCTATATAAAAACACCTCAGGCAGAGTGAGGGCATACAACCACCTCTCTCCATTGTTCCATTCGAGCAGTGGGGTTAGGCAGGGTTGCCCAATCTCACCATTCCTCTTCAACTTTGCCATCGATGACATTCTGGAAACAGCTCTGATGAATGTAAGTAATGGTGGTGTGGATCTGTTGCCTGGAGAAAGACTTCTCGACCTTGAGTATGCGGACGATATTGTCTTACTGTGCGATAATGCCCAAGGCATGCAATCCGCACTTAATCAGTTGGCAATCAGTGTCCGTAGGTATGGTATGTGCTTTGCACCTTCGAAGTGCAAAGTACTTCTACAAGACTGGCAGGATTCTAATCCTGTACTCACCCTGGATGGTGAGCAGATAGACGTAGTCGAGAAGTTCGTGTATCTGGGTAGCTGCATAAGTGCTGGTGGGGGTGTGAGTGATGAGATCAATGCACGAATAGTGAAAGCCAGAGCGGCTTATGCCAATCTGGGCCACCTTTGGCGCCTTCGTGATGTTAGTCTGGCTGTAAAAGGTCGGATCTACAACGCGTCGGTGAGAGCAGTTTTGCTCTATGCTTGTGAAACCTGGCCTCTCCGAGTTGAGG